AACAAGTAGTTTGTACAGAATAGGAAAGACAATCAGCATCAGCAGGTCGTTTGTGACCCTGACCAGAGCTGTTTCAGTGCTGTGGGCGGAACGGAAACCGGACTGGAATTTCTCAAAGAGGCCGTTTAGTTGGAGATGGTCCTGAAGCTGGGCAGAAACCACATGTCTAACTGTCTACCAGCATGTCATGCACTCACTGGCTGTGACACAACAAGTAGTTTGTACAGAATAGGAAAGACAACAGCATTCACCAAACTCAAGACCCATCTCAGCGAGCTCAAAGATCTGGCCCATTTTGGACTCTCTGCCAGCTTGGAAGAGTCTTTGCCAGTCGCAAGAGAATTTGTGCTTCTGCTATATGGAAAAAAGGAAATTGGACTGATGTGCACAAACTTGGATGAACTGAGGTTCATAATTGCATCAACAACAGATGCAGCCTCGGAAAATCTGCCGCCAACAGAGGATGCATTTCAACAACATGTAAAGAGCAATGTTTCATACAGCGATATGGTGTCACAGCCCGAACCCAAACCCTTGTTATGGAGTCCTATTGGCAAGGGGTGGATTGTCAGAGATGGGGCCATTAAACCAGTGCTATTTACAAAACCCCCAGCACCTACAGAAGTGAGAGACATTACTCACTTGTATTGCAAAGATGCAAAGAGGGAGTGGAAAGTGCCAGTGCCTCTCTGTCGGCCTTCCCTGTACGGAGTTCTGCACCTGCTGTGCAGAATGTCAAAATGTGTCCCCTAACGTTTCTGAGGAACCTGACATTTAACATTATATTCTACTATCTATATACTTGACCTCTCACAGAATTATTTGATGAATTGTATACTGTACTTTGAATTAAGGTTCCAGTTTCAATACAACCTGTACTATTTACACCTATATTTTAGAGGCTTGCAATTTAGAACTAATACAGTTTATTGTATTGGGTTACTCTTATTCTGACTATTTAGTGACGTAGTTCAGCCACCTGGTATTTCCCTCTCCAAATATAATGACCATCAGAGTGAGCATTCTTAACTTATAGGCTATTGTGCCACTTATCCCCCATTCAGAATGTGACTGTCTCAGAGAAGAGGTAGGCCTATGTCTAAAGAAATCTCATTTGAAATAGAACTGCACCAGATATTTCCATACAACTACTGGTTAGTGTTCAATAGCACCCTAGACAATTCAGTAATGGTATATGTTTTAGGGATCTCTGTTTTTCTGATAAATGAGAGAAAAGTGAACTAAAGCTAAGTTTACAGGACTATAATTCAGTATTTTTTTAGTTAAATAAGTGTCTGACTATTTGGTGAAGTAGGACAGCCACCTGGTTCATACCTCAGCAAATCTGAAGAGGAAAAGAGTTGTCATTCTCAAGTTATGGGCTTTCTTGTCACCTTTCCCATTCGGCCTGGTCTAATTTGGCTCTTTTTCAGGGATTGGGGTAGTTCTAAAGAACAACCAAATATATATATTTTTTCCCCAGAATAAAATTTGACAACAATCAATTTCATTAATGGGAGACCCTAAAGATAAGAAAAAACATTGTTGTCATTTGTTCTACCTCGGGTAGGGGTATCTCGAAAACTAAAGCCTTTTTTGAGGACTTGCTGCTGGACTATATTACTTTACAGGTTAACAAGATCATGACAATTATCTTCTGAACTTCACCAAGAAGCATCCCCGAGGAGACCCGTGTGGAGATAAGTATCTGCTCAATGGTCGTTTGATTAAAATCACCATCACATTGGACTCAATCTGCATGTCATCCATGGTGTGTCCATTCAAAGAGTTCTTAGCTGTTGTAATAGTTATTTCTCTCTATGCTGATCATGAAGAAAGCTCCGTGCTATCACACATTTAAAACGAGAAATGGGGAACAAAATCCACAGTCCTCTATCTTTCTCTACAAAAATGCAAACAACCAGTTAGTGTGTTTAGCGGGTTAATTGTTAACAGACCTTAGATATTTTATGTTTAACGTAAGTTAATGTTTGGAACGAGACATCATGTATTAGACCACGCCAAATGTATGCAGCCTCGTGCAGTGACGTGCTTGTGTGTCATCATGAACGCACAAAGTAAAAGCATTTTATTTTAAATGTATGCATGCCTGGAAGTCCTTTTTATATCCAAGTGTTCAACACTAAGGCAAGCAAAACGGTTTCTAACTGTTACCAATATTAAAATAACTCAGAGTTTACCTGCAGCATATCAGCCACTATTTAAAATGCAATTCATGACAAGGGTGGAGGGGGAAGATATCCTGACCCCCTCCCTTTGTAATAATAATCCTGTCCAAATGCGACTTTCATAATGATGAATCTAAAACATTAAGTACTAATTCAAATGTTTGCATAATTTATCCTTTAACATGTATCCACTCTGTGATGATATTGTTCTCTCCCATTGTTTTTGAGAAGTTCTATCATTTCTTTAGTTTGATACTATTCTAGCTGTTCCTTTGCATTTGGTGTTTGGAAAGTATGCTAAATGTGCTCCCTCCCTCTATCCGGCTTGAACCCTTCACCAGGTTCAGACAAAGCCCCTCTCTGACTTTCTTATGTGTCATATAGCAGAAGTGGAGTAGACGTGATGGTACACACACACACACACATCTTATGGTGTAATGACTTTCTTACTCCTGTGGTGAGCTGCCAGCCGGCCTGTTGAAACCTGCGCAGTAACCCTAGATGTGGAAAGTACCCCTGCGATTCTGAGTCTGAGGCGCAGGAGGCCTCCACTATCTACCTGTCACACACACACACACACACACACACACACACACACACACACACACACACACACACACACACACACACACACACACACACACACACACACACACACACACACACACACACACACACACACACACACACACACACACACACACACACACACACACACACACACACACACACACACACACACACACACACACACACACACACACACACACACACACACACACACACACACACACACACACACACACACACACACACACACACACACACACACACACACACACACACACACACACACACACACACACACACACACACACACACACACACACACACACACACACACACACACACACACACACACACTTGTGAAGTATCACTAACTCTTTCCACCAGACACGCAACCCAGACATGATCTGAAACACAGTAAGACCCCCGCCACTTCCATCCTGCTTTGCTTCTGATGTTGGGAAGACTCACTGTGTCTGCACTTGTTGGTAGGGGAGTGTGTGCGTATGTGTGTTCATGCATGTCTGTGTGACCACTCACAATCAAGGGATGTATACGATTTCTCGTCATGCATTTAGGCTACTGTATGCACAATATGTTTCCTGGCTGTGTGTGTCCCCGCTCTGCATGTGTACCGGCATGTCGTGTGTTAGTGAGATCACCTCCCTCACATCTACGGACCTCTTGACACTCTTCGTTTCTTTTTACACCTGGCCTCCCGTGATCAAGGCTTTAACAGAGGGCAGGTGTGCTCGCTCCTTGCCCTCACAACTTTAAAAACAGCAGTTTCAACGCCCTCCTGCCCCAAGTGCTGCTGGGAGCGGGAGGTCCCTCTTGACTCCTGACATCCATCTTTTTTTCTTCCCCCTGCAGGAGTTATGGAGGGGGGAAAGCCCAATTGAAGTCTATGAGCCCATAAAACAGGCCTTTAATTAGCTCATATACGCCCAGGAGTACTGTTAGCCTCTCGTTTCTCTGGACTGCAGTCATAAGTAGGATCCTTCAGGGCATACAGGTTTATTTGGTTTGATCAGATCCGAAAGAAGAATTATGTGCAACAGTTAAGAGGCTGGGACATGTTGGATATCAAACAGGCAGGTGGGATTCATTGCTTTTGTGTTTTTGTGACTATTGGGAGGAAATGGGAGGGAAAGAAGACCTCTAGCTATGCACCGGTGTTCACAAGATGAGAAGTGCCTCCCATATCCAACATATAATCTATCTAAGAAGAAGAAAGGTCCAACGCACTCTTCTGGCAAATAGTTAAAAGCCTTTAATCAGATGGCTGTTTCATAGTGAACTTCTGAAACATACACCGTGCTTCTACATGTTAGAATAGAGCCGAGTTAACAATCCACACCTAACAGAACAAACAAGCTTCTTCGAGGTCACCCACTATGAAATAGCCATCATGATTAAAGGCTTTTTTAAATGTTTGCCATATTTCTTCTTTCTTTTAACTTGCCGTCCCCACTAAAGAGCACATTCATGCATTTACATATTGTAATTACCGTTACTGGTGTACTGCACTGTAATGTAAGTCTGCATTATGCGGCACCACGTTCAAACACGGGTTAGCGTTTTTTTAGAAGAAGGAAAAGCAGTGAATGCGTTAACTGCCTTCGTTTAATAAAAGTGCATATATAAAACATCACAGCGCTCATTTTCAGCAAGACGGAACAGCCACAATGAGTGGTAGATGAAGAGCTGCGGGCGATATGCTGGAGAATTCCAACTTTCAGCGAGGTAACCACCTTCTTTTATTGTACCCTGCTGTTGTGTGGAAAACTACTGCTGTCTTCTTTATGAAAACAGCGACTGACCTATAAACAGATCCGCCAGTTGCTCCTCTGTTGTATATATTCTCCTCTCATGTACTACCCCCCACACCCCCAATGAATATTGTTAAATCAGCCTGGACTGAAATATTGAGAATGACCACTTTAAAGGGGCCCTGTTGTGCTCATTTTCAGGTTCATATTTGTATGTTGTGCCTCCACTGTGACAACCTTTAATGTTCAATGTGTTGTTAGCTAGGTAATAAAAAACTACACTTTTCATTTTGAAATTGGGCCCAAGAGATTATATCTGCACCAGCAATGAAGTGTAAAGGACAATTGCTGAAGAGGGCATTATAAATCCTAACACGGATTTAGTATGTGCTTATTTTGGATTTCATATTGAATTTGTTCGCACTAGTAGAGAAATGTAATTGTCTGTGAAGTATAACTTGTGTGAACTCACCTGACTTGTTTCCTGTTGTGCAGGTTGATCATTACTGCCATCGTGACCAGTGCAGAGAGGGAACCGACAGCACCAAGAACAAACCTCACGTTATCATCTGCAAGAGTCATACCAACACAGAATTAGTAACTGCAGTCAGCCATTGACCCTTTCACACAACCCCTTCCTCCTCAAGCCTCAACTAGTAAAGCAGTGATGTTAGAGGTATGATGTTAAGAGGGGAAACTAATGAGAAAAGTTCAATAAACAGTCACGTTTCCTTTGAGCAAGGAATCGGGTGAAGCTGCTCAGTAGATCACAGTTGCGCGAAGTGCGAACAGTGTTCGGCATTCCCAGGTAAGTTGGGTGTAGCAGTTTGTAGCTAGGTGTGGCTAACATTTACCATTCGTGCTCAGTCTGTTTTATCTAAATAAAGGATTAGGCACAAACTTGCTAGACCAATTGAGGTTTTTCTGGACTTAGTAGCCATGGTGTCGGTCTATGTTAACAGAAACACTAGCTGTGATTACAGTAAATGTAAATATGTACATGTGAAGCTCGATCAGATGTGACCGATAGCCTCACCTACCCTTGCAGTCAATGGAAATATAACCATTACCTTTGTGTTGTAAACAGAAAGCATTCACTGTATTTTTCAGAGGTTTGCCTTAATAAAAATAGTAAAGTACCAATATTTCTTATTGTAATTGTGAACAGACTTTTGCAACCAGCTGTCCCCTGCTGGCTATTAGAGGGAATACACGTTTAAGGTACTTCACCTATGGATTGGATGGACTGAAACAGCTTTTATTTGATGGATTTTCAGTTAGCTTAACATTGTTTGTAGATGCTTTGGTAATATTGGGATCAAACTATAACATCTGAAACCTTCCTTGGGTTATCTGCAAGTTCAGTAAATCATTTTCCAATCTATTTGAATATACCTACAGTATAGTCAGGAGTTGTTTTTGTAAGGCAGGCGATTATACAGATATTCTGAGAAAGATCATTATCATAGCACCGTCATCCTCTAACGCATGAGTGCATGGACATATGTCAAGTGTGTTAGAGAGTTGTCAGGTATGCACTGCAGGTGCTGGTGCTTTAAAATGTCATCAGCCTTGGAACATCAAACACATGGATGCACAGGCACCTTGAAATACACACCCACATGTACACACATTCCCTGAAGTTTCTAAACCAATCAGTTTCTCTACACATGACCAGGCCTTGGATGGAGCAGCACTGGCATCAAACTGCTGGACGCTAAAGCCTTCGACATCGGTGCTGCACAGAGTATAACAGAACAGGGAGCATGTGGAGGACTGGCGGTCAATCAGGGTTAACATTCAGCTTTTTCCTTTTCTTCTGCTGGCGAAACCCCAAAGCCATCTCATTACTTCACTGAACTCTCCTGCATTGATCAAATAGTAAAGGGGGCAATAGCACTCAGTTTGGACCATTACACTTCCATTGCGCAGGGATTTACACATGACAGACATCATGGGGCTGGACTGAACAAGTAGAAGGTGATAAGGTGAAAACAGATGGCAGTGTGTATCAATTATCTCTATTAACTGTATTGTTTTTGTATGTATATTATGGAAATTATTCAATGTTATTCCTCCAATTTGCAACACATTAAAAACCTTGCAAAAATGTAAATTCTGATTTCAAGCCCCTTTCTCTCCTTCCATCTCCCGGGGAATGTTCCCTAACAGACGATACCGATCAGTAATCCAAGACTGTTTTCACAACCAAAGCATGCCCATTGACCCCTTAGCTACATTCTTGTCACATAAAGCATTTCTTAAGATAGAGATTAGTTTTTTGACTGACTTGATATCATCCTAAAATGATTCAGTTGATATTTGTTCTCCCTGGTAACAGTGTCTCTTTACAAAGCTACTGTTGTCATCTGATACGTGTTGCTCACCCTGCCTTATTATGATAGTTGGAAGAATTCTTGGAATTTGAACCATGTGTCAAACGTCAAATTCAGATATCAAATGTTCCAAACGTAACAAGCAATCATTTGCATAGAAACATTCAATAACACAAAGCCGAGGAGTAGCCAACTAAAACATGTATTGTCTCTAAACCTGCTTGTTGACTCCAATGATGGCTAGAGATCCATACCAAGTTACTCATGTGGGGTATATGAAAATAAAGTTGACACACAGCAGTAACAGCAGCAGCAGCTCTGGAAGAAAAGTGTCCTGAGGAATTACACTCAGCTTCAACAGCTAACCTTTCCTGTGGTCTGGGACCTTGAGGCCAGGTGTTCGTGTCTCTGAATGTAAATGTTTCCATGTTATTACCAATATCTATATATTAGATATGAATTGTCAGAAATGAATGTAATTAGCAACTGTCTGTCATGGGTGATGGTGCTGAATCCCTAAATATGATTTTTTTTTAAATGTTTGAAATTACTTTGACATACATTTCATGCTAATATTTTATAAGCAGCGTGTCTGTGTCTTATTAAAACCCTAAAATTGTTCCATAAAACAAAAAACAGACCTCACTCACAAAAATAGTAGAGTGGAGAATGCTAGAGCGGTCACAGCAGAGACCCAACAAAAAGCAGCTGCATCCAGCGGACTTTGTAGCTACGAATATTCAACCAAACCTTTGTCATACATTCTGGTTTTCTCTTCAACTCTTCTGATAAAGATAAGTATGTTAAACGCTTTTTTATTATTAAGTTAATGTTGGTGAAATATAAATGATGGGAAACTATCAAAACTCTTAATCATCTTTAAAAAAATCACACATCTCCTATTCAGAAACTGTGCCCTCAACAAGCCGTTAGGATTTATGAAGGTTGTGATGTCGCAACTGTACACATGGGGGTAGAAAACACAGCTATAGTGCCGTTAGAGTCATGCAAGGCTGCAAAGATGGTGAATGCATTCATAAGACCCTGAAACACTGACCATCCAGAGCAGGGATACGAATTTTCATGAGGATGCCTTAAAGAGACAGGCACCTAAACGAAACGTATCATACAAACGGTGAAAACATGTATACTTAAAGAGTCACTATGAGAAATATAATGTGTTTTTATAAACAGTAAGGCATGTAAACATGTCCTCGTAGAAACCCAAAAACTAGTATGAAACAAAACATAAGCAGGATATCTCCCCTTTAATATGATAAAAACTCTTAAAATCGAATATTTATACAAAGCAAATACAGCATGATTTGAATTGTCTAGCGAAAAAATAGCAAAACTAATTCTCTAATAGATTCCAACACAATCGAATGTGTTGAGGACAGTACTGGGCGCATTTGGGGAAGCAGCAGACTTGACACACATAAGCAGCCCTCACCAAAGCACGGAAACAGCCCTCATCAGATAATTGATCTGTGGATAAGCACAAACAAAACCTCCTAATCTCGACACTGTTGTTCACGAGCAGCTATTAGACTGGAAAAGTGAGTAGACTGAAGTTGTGTAGTCCTTGTTTTTAGGTAGATCTCAGGGGAATCTGAGAAGAGAACCACAGGCAGAAAATTGAGTGAGGCTTTGTCTTGCAACCCACGTCACTTTTTCCTGTTAAAAATCACTTTATCCCTCTCTGGCAGCTGTCACCTTTCCTTTAATCACTTTCTTCACCTCTCTGCAAGAAACTCTATTAATATTATAATGCAATCGAGGTGGAGTGATCCTGTTATTGGCATGCATCTGATACTCAAGATCGTGACAAAGAACAGCCAAGCTGGTAAACTCTAACCTTGTACCTTTCAAGTGTTAGTCGTTAGATCAAGGATTTACTAAGCAAACTTCAACCTCACCTCTGCAACACACTTCCCAGCAGAAGACATTAACATTGATCATCACAATACACCACACCTCTGTCAAAGTGTGGCAGCAGGTTATAATCCATCTGAAAAAGGTGTGGCTTTCAGTGATGGGAGATTAATTCTAAATAGAAAGGAATTAGTGTCACCTCTGCTGACAGGCGGCATTTCAACAGCGGCTCATTGAAGTGACTCAGAGTAGAAGAAGTCAAACTGGATGTGGTGGCATTTGTTCTTGAGCGACACACCGTTTTCATCTTAGCTATGACTACAATTCTCTGGTCTACACATCATGCCACAGTGATTCATATAAGGGGAGGAAGAAGAGGAGAAACCCGTCGGGGCGCCTCCTGCTCGGTCTGTATTTAGTATTGTTTACATGGCCAGAGGTCACATTTGGATGGTGGAGGTAACAGCTCATGCAACACCTGCCATTGAGCCCCTCAGGTCATGTTGACAGTTGTTAGCTCTGATTGTTATAATGAGAGTGTCAGAGCAAGTGTGATCATTGTCACAGACATAAAACAGGCCAGCTTTGCATATGTGCATAGAACAAAACATAGGGACAGCAGATACACCACGACGGATCCTCTCTAAACTTTCCGATGATTGGTCGCTACATTAAGGCCATGGAAATAACATCAGCAGGCATGGCTTTATGTCCAATAATAGAGTTTAGAGATAGGATGATATAGGGTTTTATCTGGGATCAGGATAAGTAAAAGACAATGAGGTAATTGTAGTGAATTTTCATTATCGGGATCCTCATGAATATCCTCACATGATGAGTGACTTGTTTTCATGAACAATAAAGCCTGATTTATAAAATAAAGGAGATACAATGACATTTAAAAATGTGATCCTTTATTTATGATTTACTATTGCCTTATTTAAAATAGTCGTTTTTTCTTCACTTAAAAGGACGTTGATGTAAAAATACTATCTGTGATTAAAACTGAACTTGAAGTGACTCTAGTATGTGTTTTTCAAATGATAATTGGGAAAATATTCTGAGATCAGGAAAATGAAATATATTTCTAAACAGTGCTCAACTTTAAAATGAGATATGTTTTTGCCTGATGAAGGAGTCAGGATAGATTGGTTGTTACGTGGTCGTCAACCCTGATATAACAAGGTAAGGATTAAGAATTGGAGTAAAGCCATGAAGGGATGCCATTATAGATGGATCACAAGTGGCTGTATTTCTCTGCTATCTCACACTTCAAAAGCCCAACAATGAAGCCAAAACCATAGAGATAAATGTCTAATTTCCTCCTATTTTGCAGTGTTAATACTTATAAATCACGTTTTTTCTTTGAAAATCAGCCTGCTTCACAATACAATGGCACATAAAGAGGTATTAATCTGCAGCCACACTAATAATGAAGTGGGAAATACTGCCACCTAATGGCGTCAGCGGTCCTCCACACCACTACTCTGAGATTTCACGGTTGTGGTGATGAATGAAACCATTAGCAGGACCCAGGTGCTTCCAATTTACAAACAGAAAGCCGAGCCAATCCAGGTTCAGAAGTGTATAGCTTTGTAGCTAATGGTCAGCAGGAGGAACCGAGAGCCGAGTCTATTGAATCTTTACTTTCAAAGAGACTGGATGAGAAGAGGATTCCCAAAGTCCCCCTCACTTTTCATTAGAGGATTCAGTCAATCATACTCAATATAAAACATGTGGGGAGTTTGTCAGTAATAAGTAAGTATGTAACTTTATTTATGTAGAGCCTTTCTTAAGCAATCGTGGGAAACTGTTTCACAAGTGAATAACATAATGAAAAACACACTGGTTAGAGATATGCAGACCAAAACAAACTGTGGGAAAAAATAGTTTTGCATATTTTAACCATATTTTTGGAAGAAGAATACTGAAAACTCTTTCCAGCATGAAGCCATTAGGTTGCCATCAACTTGTAGAGAGTTAAACAAATATTATCATAACATATGTCATGGTGATCTGTTAGTTTCCCAGACTGTTGGCGAAATATCTGTCTTTGTTTAATATTATGCAAATGTAGACCATTGCTTATACAAAAAAAGTTACAATTACATTTTACTCATATCAACGTGTGCTTCATACTGCTAATACATGCAATGGTGTCCTGACTCTTAAAGGTCCCATGTCATGCTTTTCTGGTTATTACCCGTCCCCTTGTGTGTTATGAAAGTATTTCTGCATGTAAATGGTCTGCAGAGTCACAAACCCTCAAAGTACATCCTGTAGCGAGTAAAACTCTAACACAGAAAAGACCTGTCTGTGCTGCCCCAGAACGCCTCGTTGGAGATTTCTCTTTTTCCATTTGTTTCTTCCGGGATCCGCATGACGTCATGCGGCTCCCGGAAGAAACAAATGGACCAATCCGCGGAGCTCCTCACACACCAGGATCCCTTGGCGTCACTATCAAACGGGGGACCTTTAGCGTACATTTCCAATTAACAGGGAGTCCCATTGACTTGCATAGAGCTCCCTGGTTGGTAATAGACGAGTTGGGATCGCCAGAACCATTCTCACAGCGTTTATCAACCTTTTTCTTACTCAATATCAAGCCACACTTATTGTTTTTACTTCGGCTGTGAGTGTTTGTGTGTGCTCAGGATGAGTTTTGCGCTGTCTCGCTGTATCACCGACCCGGAAACCACACCAGTAAGCCAGATCACTGAGCAGGGAGCCTCGCAACGTCCCGACCAATCAGAGCACACTGGGCTCCAACAAGCCGTTTAGGACAGAGAGTGAATACCGGTGAATACGTCATACTTTAGATGCTGTATGAGAAACCAATGTGAGTTTGGAAAATTGCACAATATAAATCTATGTTAGTATACCTCAACAATGGAATTATGATCAGTAGAAATGGCCATGACATGGGACCTTTAAAACTCTGTCAGAGTGTTTCTAGTATTGTCTATAGAGCATGTCATATTGATGGTATACTTCATAAGTGTTCAAAAAGATTGCAGCTTTTCTCCCACACATTACAGTTCATACAACATGTTTATTTAACTGGCTATAGATGAGAGCAACTCATCCGGGTACTTTCCCTCTATGTTAGGCCCCGCCCCTTTATGGGTGAAAACAGTTGCTGTCATTGGACTGATTGGGTCCCTTTGATAATGATCTCCGTGCTCTCTGTGGATGGCCTGATGCCACAGAGATGACCTTTTATCGTCCTTTTCTCTATGTAAAGGTGTACAAAAATGTGACTCTGGATCTTTTGTTGTTTGTTGGCAATACAAGACACAGCAGCTTTAAGGCATTATAAAACTATTTTTTCCGCTTGGCGCCAATTCTTAGTTTTAACCCGGAATGTGGGTGGGGCCGTCATTTCGCCAGGCAGTGACGTAGTGCTTCTCTCCTCTATTGGTTTTGCTTCATATAACAAACCTGGGATACAGTAGGGCTGCTCTCTTGTCCAGCTCCCATCATCTAGACAGGTGCGCTCCGTTGAGCCGTACAGTGAGAAGCCTTCATTGCAGGTGAAGCTCAGACAGCTGCCCTCCAGGTAATGTGTCCCATTCTTCTTCCCATTCCTAGGTGTGGGAAGCCAGCCACAAGACACCACTAGAAGGAACAATAACACATTAGAAAATAAATATCAAAACTGTATACTGTCCCAAATAGTAATAATCAAATGTTTTTGAAACGTATGAAAAACAAATACATTCACTTCATTTACAGAATATTTTTCTTATCTTATGACATTAGTATAGCTGAATTCCATACTAGACACAATCTATTACTGGTCAGGTTAGAGAGTGTACAGGCATTTTAAGGTATACCATTAGCATTTTTTATTTAAAGCAAGCAATAGCAAAGTTGTATGATACATTTGCATGTTGGCATCAGTGACGTGCAGAGTCAGATTTACAAATATTATATTCTGACCTTAATCGAAATATTCTGTTATTTTCAAAAGCTTTTTTAGTCTGATGTTTCGATTCATTTTAAACAGACCGTTCAACAAAAGGGTACCCACAATCTAAATATTGGATTGTTCTTTCTTAGTAAGATCCCATTTTCATTACAATTGGGGTCTTACCTTGACTTGAAGATGAAGTCCATGCTCTCCTTCTGGACAACAATCTCTATTACTTTTTTGTAAAAGTCCTCCTTATCTTCCTCTAGTTTCAAAAGTCTAGTTTGTTGTTCGCGTCTACCATCCTGCTACCGTCTCTACGTAGAATAACAGTAGCAACAAGGACCTGTGGGCTCACTTGCGCCCCCTTCAGTGCGGCAGAGGTTATGGCTGCCTCCCCTGGTGCTTTTTTCATTGCCGTTGTATGATGAGACCAGCGAGCCTAAATATCATATATACGTGAAATAAGTTATTTAGAGACTATGGATGGCGAGGATAAATGTAATAAAGGGATCTACAAACATTACATTGGTGACATACAGTGAGATGGTGCAGGCATGCGCTTAGTGCCCGCTTTCCAGCCAGTTTCTGTGGGGTGACGCATTCTGAGGTGAGGCAGAGCTCATCTGTGCCTCACCTCACCCCACAGTAACTGGCTTGAGCGCGCTCACAAAATAAGTGCCCGCGCTAAATTAGTGCCCGCGCTCGAGCAAGTTACTGTGGGCTTACGTGAGGCAGAGCTCGTCCCTGCCTCACTCCTCATCGCTACCCGTAGTTGTAGCGGAGCTCGGCAAATTTGCTGATTTTGACTATAAAAAGCGATTGGAATCATACATAAATCACACTTACAACACAGATCAGTGGAGACATGTTATTATTATTACTATTTAGTTTTTCTTTAGTTGTTTTTCCGTTACATTGTAGTATGGCCAGTCTATGAGTATGACAGGTGAGGCTCTGCCTCCCCTGACTGCACGTCGCTGGTTGGCATGTAATACACATGTTGTGCTGTACCTTGCTCCAGGGCTTCCGTAAGGGCCAGATGGCTTTGGTAGGCCCCGAGTGTGGCGTTTCCCATTCTCAAGCTCTGTGCGGTCAGGGTATCATATTTACAAAACTGGGCTCCTTCTCCCAAGCACATCGCCAACATGTCTGCCATCAGAGGGTCATCGGGTGTCTCGGGTAGAGAAAAGGCGGGAACAAAGGCAGTGTCATGACTTGGTGGGAAATAGTATCTATCCATAAGGTACTTTGAGTCATATGTGAAGAGGGAGGACGTCTTTTAAATGTTCCCTGTGGATAAAAGTAACAAAAAACTCAGTTCAGATACGCATCAATGTTGTCCATGTCCAGCCATCCACCCATCTTCTACCGCTTTAAAGTGAACACTGAGCAACTGAGCAAAATGCCGCATTGATCAATATGATTGATGTAACATATACAAGTCTTTCATGCTCACAGCCAGCTCCAAAGGTGAAGATTTCCTCAGGCGTGGCGTCGGCTGGGGAAAGGATCTCTCCGAGTCCGGTCAACAGGTTATCTGAGGGGTCAGAGTTCATGAGACCGAGGAGACCCTGAGTGTGGTTAGTAAACTCTGATGGAAGCAGGACGGTCACTGCCATGGCTCCTTCACGCACCCGAACCTCCACGCCAACTCCAGAGAGGAAGATTACTGTCACATTCTGAAGACTGGGGGTGAACACAAATACTCCTAGAAAAAAGAAAAAAAAAGGAGACATTTTGTTTTTACAAAATAAAATAGAGCATCACATTTTGTTACAACAATGGTCATTAGTGGAAAATCTCATCTCAAGAAGTGGCATTTCGAAACTTAATTAATACAAAGAAAAAATATCTTTCTGGTAACATAAGCAGGAAATATTTTTTGACAATGTGTTATTTAATGTCAATATGATATGCTGTATATAATATGCCGTGTCTATAATAAATAAAAAACTGCTGTATAATGGCTTTAATAGGGCTTATAGGTGATGGATAAATACAGAGTAATGAATATTCATAATGCCTTATATTTAAAACAATAATCAAAAACAAAAAGCATTTTATTGGACTTTTAGGGTCAAGTATAATAATACTAAATAATAGCTACCATTCACTCACATTTTTGCAAGGAACTTAGTTAACGTTTATTCCCACAGTTGTCAAATATACAAATATTTAAATGCATAATAATTGGTGGTCATTGATAGCTTTCATGGAAGTTAAATAGCATCTTTGGATCTGTAAGAACACACAAAACATAACATTTATTTTCACTTTACTTAAAGCAAACAATGACCACTTCAAATAAAAAAAAGTAACTTAATATCACATTAATATGCATTAGCACAGTGATTATAATGCATTATTTAAAAAAACTAAACAATAACACCTATGGGAATTATAATAAACTATGATCCTTGCAAAGTCAGCTAGAGACTAGCAATTATAAGGTATTATGATACTAAATATATTAGTCAATATAATGTTTTATAATCATGTTATAATCATTATGAATATCTTGATTGCTTATAACTGTAACTGTTTAATACAATAGGCAGAGTATAACGCATCATACATATGTTTATAATGCATTATAGGGTCACACAGAAAGTTTAACCACAATAAAGAATGGTATGAAGTTCTCACCGTGTAGGTCCATCCATCTCTGCTCGGTGAAAGGTAGGACCTTTTGGTTCCTCAGCACCTGAAGGTGGCCATCTGCTAGACGCACCTCGATGACATCAGAGGTATTTCCCTTCATAGCCACGGATGACAGCAATGTGGCTTTGGCCGAGGTACCTTGGTGGTCAATATAAACGTCACAATATCACAGATGTGCTACTATGTATGTTTGGAAAAATATCACTCGTCAGCGGCTTGAGCTTCAATATCAGGATGGTTATGTTGGGAAAATACTGAATGTACTCTTCCAAATATCAGAGGAGCACATGATAACAAAGGCCCTACGTAGCTGTGTACGTAACCGGATGTATGAATACCTAGAAGAGCATCAGGACTGTTTTAGGCATATGATAGCTATGTGACAACGATTAACATGATGATTCAGCCTCTATGGAGATAGGCATATGACTGTCATGTTTATTGCTTACGCAGGCCTTAGCTAATCTGAACTAAACATTGTATACTGCTTTGAACCGGTATTCTGCCTATTGTGAGTGTAACCCTCTCTTGTATTAAAGCATGTCAAGGACACTGTTCTGGGAACTATTTGTCCCACGCAGCTCTGTATGTGATGACTACTTCCATTCTTGCAAGGATAATAAATACATGTATCCTGATATTGAAGCTTAAGCCGGTGACGAGTGATATTTTAACAATGTACAACATATTCTGTATTACTGTGCATCTCTCTGCATATCAGATAATCTCAATGTTTGATTTTACTGATCTAATGAGGAGAACTAATATTAATTACATCTGCATCTTACATCTGATCATCTGCAGTCACTGGCTCATGGCTGTTGTGTAATGGCTTGGAGAACATTTCGAAAAATGAAGCCAACTTCTGTTTTTCTTTACCACTTCTGAACCCAAGAGATACTCAGCAAAAACAGGTGGGAACTAAGTTATATTCTGTCATTTGTCAGCGGCAACATGTTTCAATCACACGAGAAATACCTGACATCACTTGCCTGCAGAAGAAAATGAGTGTTAAAGAGTGATTGAGCTTTTAACTCTTTTTAAAGAGGCCCTATTATGCTTGTTGGGGATTTCTGGGCTCTGGTTTCAGACAGAGGGTGAAAAGAGCTGCAGCACAGGCAGCATGAGAAAAATAAAGACCTTTATGAACATTAAAGCATGGAAACATGTCACAGAAGAGGCACACCATACAATTATGAAACCTTAACATGAGCATAATTGGGCCCCTTCAAGAGGAGAGTGCAAAGAAAAAGGTCCAAGCAAAAGAAGACAAAAACAAGTCAAATTTAGAGGCAGGTAATCAATCTTGTGACTGGTAAAAAATAAAAAATCACTCAAATAATAAAAAAAGGTTTATCGTTAGTCCTGGAAACATTTTGATCCAAACAAAGCTGCTGCAGTAGTAGCATGTGGTTTAAAGAGTGGACACAGACGGGCCTTTCACATCAAATGTGCACTCACCATTCTTAAATTTCAGCGCCTCTGTTCTGGCCTGAACACTCAGCTCTCTGTCTGGAGAAGACACAAGGTAGTATTCTCCTTTGCCGTTGAAAGTGTAGCTGAGCCCGTCGAACGTTACGAAATGCGGATCCCCGAGGACAACACCTGCGAGGCGACGAGAAAGAAATGACCGATGCGTTTACAACAAATACTCACATACACGTATTTCTTTCACAGTACATCTCTCACATCAGTATGCGGTTTATTGTTGTCTTTATAGTCTCTGGAGAGCAGGAAGTCAATTGTGTGATCTAATATGTTTTCACATTGCAACTCTCAGCCGCAGTCTGTAATTCAGTTATTTTTCCTGAAAACTCCTCTGGTATTACTCTAGTGTCCATGTGCAGAGTATACTGTAGCAAGTGTGTGTCGCACGCAGTGGCAATTACATAGATACACTTTTTCTTGCTGTCGCGGTGCACTTCTTGCATCGAAAGCTTTACCCAAAATTCAGCAAACTGAAACCAGCAACCCCCTTTATTCATCAAGAAACAGATCATGTTTGATGCTAAGAAATAATATAATATCTATTGAAAAATTCCACACTTTCTTCCACGCAGGAGAAAAACGTTATATTTGTAATGCAGACTAAAACAATAAACCACAAGCCTTAAAGGGGAAATAGGAGAATTCACACATGTTGTTCCAAAGGTCAAGACAGCTCAAAGATGTTTGTGAACATGAACAACTCCCTTTTAAATCCTATGTGATCGAAGTATGGAGTGTGGAACTGCTCTATATTCAATAAATGGTTAAAGATGTGATAGATGACACAGCACCGTAGGAAATGGTCTTAGTATATTGGGAAACTATCTGTTACAACTACAACACAACAATAGCATAAAGCTTGTTTACAAAATAGAGGCTTTTCAGCCCCTTTGCAGTGGCTCCCTCTAGCTTTGAACAAAAATAACATCTATTTTTCTTTTTTGTTGCATAATGGACACTTTTTTGAAAGGTTCTCTATCGTCTCCAAGTTTGAGGTGATACTGTGAAACTGAAATAGTATTAGGAGTTGATCAGCTTATATATGCATCACGTCCTTCTACATCTATGTTCTGGCGCCTCACGGTGGTAGCTAATCCTCAATTTCAGATCTCCCGGCCTTGGAAAACTAACCATGATTTTTTTAAATTATTATTTATTCTACTGTTTCAACAATTAGACAATGTATACATCCAAGAAACAAACAAAATTAGAAGAACCAGGAGGGCAGAAAGCATATCTTATACAGATGTAGCCCTCCCGTTAATCATCCAGTTGCAGGATAAAGACAAAAGATACACACTAAATTCTCTATATATAGAATTTTGTTCATCTGTAGATATATAGACTCACACAGATAAATTCAACTCCAAAAAAAAAGAAAAGGCACAAATGAAATAGAGTTTAATTCTGCGTATTTAGATTCCTTTGCTTTGCATGCCAACAATAATGGCTTACCTTTAAGCTTGATATATTGTGAGAAATCAGCAACCCAAAATAAAAAAGGTAATCTTGAAAGACATTTCCAGGATAAGGACACAGCATTTTGCTGCTACTTATGTTAAACAGGTATGTCAATAGACTTTCAAAATGTTTCTTTATTTTCTATGCAACAAACTAGTTTTTGTATACATAGTATAACTCTATAAAACTTTAAAAGCTGTGTTTCAAAAATGTTTTACACCTCCAGACATAATTAATTTGGTGGCAAAGGGGGGACGATGGCTCCTTTGTTAATAAAGGTGGCTGACCCTAGACATTGTAGTTTCTAATTTAGGCACTGTAGCAAATGTAATTTCAGATTCAAAATAACTTTTTACTGGTTAAATAAGTCTGTGCTACTGTGCGTATATTGAGTTATAAAAACATGAAATCGACTTGATGTGACTTGTTAATCAAATCAAGTTTTATTTATATAGCACATTTATAAACGATTTTTGGTGGAGCCAAAGTGCTGTACATATAATAAAAATAGCCTACAGTAGAGACACTCTACAGCAAATACAACAGCACAGATTGTTCAGAATATCAGTATGATAAAAACGACACCCTCTGTCCTTAGACTCTCACATCGTACAAGGAAAAACTTCCGGAGAAAACCCACAGTTTAAGGGGGAAAATGGGAGAAACCTCAGGGAGAGCAACAGAGGTTAAGTGTCTCACCAGCTTTTGGGGGCTGGTAGCTGCGACAGCCGCTAGAAGGGCGATGTTTGAAGTAAATGTTGCAGTGGTCAGACCACAGGCAGCAGTAGTAGAAACTCATGACATCGTAAAGCCAGTGTGAGTACCCCGGCACCCGTGGGGGCTCCCTGTACGGAGGCGAGCCCCAGTCGTGAGCCCTGTCCGGGGTGCTGCCCCCGATCGAGTCTCCCGTCAGCACCAGAGCCCCTGTGCTGTCATAACAGCACTGCTGCCCCGATCCATGCGTAGGACTGGAAACATTTAAATAAAACCATGTCAAAAAGTTTGTAAAAATGTATCAATTTATTTTACATAAGATAAACACTCCTACCTGGCCTGAATGGCTCTGACGCAGTGGACGGAACCTGGGTGATAAGTGCACACACTGCCCCGCTCAATGTCACAACTATAATCAGTCTGAAATAACACAGTGAATAAAAACTGTCTCAGTAATACAATTATCATCAATCTAATATGATTTGCAAATATAAACATTAACATTCAAGAAACAACACTTATTGATCGGTTTTATTTCTGGTTAACAGAAGTCCAATAAAGTATTTTAATGCTGTTAGAGATTTGGAGGGATAACTGGTCCGCTTTTCAAATCTCCGCGCGTTCCTATGAAGCTGGTTATAATACAGGAAGGAATCCATATCTACAAAGTAACCGTTAACAATAATCTACTTTAATGGCAATATGACAATGCAATACAATCATTACAATACAACATGATATATTACAGTTATATTGCAATGCTTAAGGAGTAATGCCGGCTTACTCCTGCTCTAGTCCGCATACTACAGAGCTACTTTCACCCGAGGGCAGCATGTGAAGAAGAGGCCGAACGCCAGGGATCCCCCGGATATATACCAGAGTAAGAAGGAGGCGTTTGGTGTTAGGTCAGCTGGTCATCTTTTCAGGTCATCTCATTGGGAGACGCAACTCTGGCCAGCAGGAAACCAAACAGGCTCACTTTACAACAAAAGGTCTCAAGGCCTGCATACCTACACCTCCCCCACAGAGCCATAAAACCCTGTTTACTCCAACCAGCCCAGAATGTTTATAGCCATTTGTAGTCCTTACATTTATGAAAGGATAAAACAGAGAAATCAATATAAAACACAAACACAGGTATTGTTTGAACAGTATTCACTTAACTGCTACTATTGATAAGCACCAGAGAAACCCAAGAGACCTCTCTTAACCTCACAAACACTGCAGCTAGATCTAAGTTGAATGCAAATCAGGACATGCTCTCACCTTCCCCCATCTTCCTTTGTCCTCAAAAACACATGTCAACAGGCCCCAAATGCAGCTCACAGTTTTACCCAAATTATTCTCATTTTAAGCTTATCCATAGTTTGCTAACATGAATAAATACAAATATAACTCTACAAATCCCCCTTTTTATCTCCTTCTCCAGAGATAAACTTAGACAAGGCATTTTGAAATATACCCACGGTCATTCTTTTCTACTGTGTCCGTAAATCCATCCGAAGCTGGTATTCAGAGTACTTGAAACCTTCATGGAGACCGAACACCACTTTCCATGGCAGTGAAGGAACCATGAGGGGGTAGCTGAGTGCTAGAATCATCAGCCCCCCCCCCCCGAGGAATAGCCCACAAGGACAGCTAATAGGGAGGGGGAGATGCAGCTTTCCCTTCACGGGTAGAACTGATCAGAGCAAAGTAGACTCCTCTGCTGCGCCGTCCCGGCTTGCCGTGTCTTTGTCTCCCCAAATCCGCTGACAGCAGCTTCTGGGCTGCCTGCTAGAGAGATGTCTTCCTCCTCCTCGTCCCGCTGATGGCGGCTTCCGGGTCGATGCTGTAGAGATGTCTCCAGGGTCCTCCTTCTCCGGCCCGCTGATGATGCCTCCCGGGTCGTCTGCTGTAAGGATGCCTCCAGGGTCCTGCTCCTCCAGTCTGCTGCTTCCGAGTAGTCCACGTCTGCCAGGGCCACGTCCGTCCTGATGTCGTCCCCTGGTCCTAGCAGGTGGTTTCCCCGCCGCACACTGGCTCCCGTGGTACGAGCTGTCCCCCTTTTCTCCCAGGCAGACGGCATAAGAGGTCCGCTGGGTCACTCGGTCGGGGTCGGAGAGCCTGGGGTTGAGCCACTTTGTCCTCGGGCTTCTCGGGTCCCCCTTTTGGCGCCGGTGACCTGTGTGGAGAAATCTGATACAACTCCCTCAAGCCTACGCTCAGCTGTTTTGACCCACTTGGAGCCTCTTGTTGGGGTGTCTTGAAACAACAGCCGTCTGTGAACAGGTTTTCCAAATTAATTGTAGACCTCCTATCTGCCAGTGCAGCTTCAGAATCTTAATACTTGGACTGTGCCAACTAAATAAGAACCTCAACATCTTTAGGTAAACTAAATAACATATTTCAATAGCTCTGAATTTCTGACAAGCATCTGTGTTTATTTTTAAATGAAATCCTATTTAAAATCCAAATCTAATATGAACTGCTAATGTTTCTGGTAAAGAAACACACTAATGTTATGGATTCAAAAACAACCAAAATCACGATGCTAACAAAGTGAATGATTTCCTGGTGATACTGCTTCTACCTGTCAGTGCTTAGATACTATCACGCTGAAAAAATGAATACAGAATTCCAACAAACTGTCATCAAATGTCTTTCTATTATAAATTTAGATGAAATGTATATCCCCATAATGACCTAAACAATAAAGTCTATGGCTCTTACTTCTTTACCAGGCTAGTTACAGGATGTTGTCTAAATTAAATTCTGTCTCAATACACTACTATGTTTTAGCTTTAACTGTAATATGTTCTTTCTACATTTCAAACCTCAGTTGCTCTAATGTCTGTTAAAATATTACAAAATTGTTTCATTATCACAGGTCAACTTCTTCGGTTTCACAGTAGCCCCTTGGCCACTGCTTCTTTGTTACCTGCTATAATTCAAATCAATATTTAGAAACATCTCAACCTTCATCAAACAGTATCTTATCCCCAGATATGGAGCAGGTTAATTACATTCAATGCTCAATCCTTAAAAAATGTAAATTGTGAATTTTACAGCCATGTTGACATTTATACATTATACTTACTCACTCCCCCTTTTTACACATGAAATCATGTGTAACAAAAGCCTGTAATGGGAGGGGAACAAAAACTGTCAGGTAATTGGTTAGGAACATAACGAACATTATTATCATTATTTCCACAGTGAACACTTCAGTGAAAAGAAGTGTTCCTCTCCGTCCTTCAGGCCTAAAAGAAACAGAATCTTCAGCTTTTACATTTGCAAACCGCCAACTCATGTGAGAGGAAAATATCACATGTGCGGTTTCCCCTTTTTGTGGAATTTTTAGGAAACCTCTCGTTTCCCTTGGAGCTCCAAAATAATATGTTAGTCCAAAAACATGCTTGGTTAGTTATTGTTTTAGAATCATGCAGTTACACTGATCACATGCCGGCATTCATTCACACTCACACTGTCTGGTTGTCATGTCAAGTTTGGTCAGGTTCACCCCAGAGTCAGTCATCCACAGTGCCTTGTCAAGTTACACTGTCGGTCAGGGTCAAAGGTCAGTTGGTCTCCGTCTTTTTTGGCCATGTGTCTTGCTCTGCAGAGACTTTGACATTTCAGCATAGGCCAGTATCCTTTGTCTACAAAAATATGTCACGATTTCAACTATAATTTTCAAGATGATTCTCACTTGTCATTGGGACTTCCGCCTCCCACTTTTCCTGAAACTTGGTACAAAACTCACTTCCTTCGAGTACCACTACTAATTAAAATGTCTAATGATCTATTTCAGAAACTTGTGTACAATAACTATTATCTTGAGTCAAAACATTACTAGGATCTGTGTCGCTCTGCATTTCATAGCTCATTATAATTCTGGTCTACTTAAAAAACGATGTTAAACTCTTTAGCAGTGTGTGGAACCCTGGGTGTCCGAACATGCAACAATTACTCCGTCCTTTATCAAGGATTTAAAACCGAAGTCTGGTAATAACTATGCCACAATGGTGAAATCAACACTTTAGATTGGAATTTAATATGTGGCTTGGCACTAGCCATTAATACAAACAAAGATTTGTCCTATAGAGTGGTTCCTAAAACTATCCTTATAATGGTGATCAATATTGTAACCAATGAGATCACTACTTTATTCACACGTGAATAAAAATGTCTTAAAGAATGATTTGTTAACATGATGAAAATATTGAAGAATATGGTTATACTCTGTCAGTGTGTTTTAGGATGATTATCATCTTACTTTAATAGTTTCCTCTTTACTGCTATTTTTAATTTATCAAATGATTAATAAATCTTTCTGTCTTTATGAAGTTAATTCAAGTTATTTAAATGTGCGTTTCGTGAATAAGTGTGTTTATGTGTAACTCACTCATTCCCGTTCTCCTTTCCTCCTCCCCTGGTTTTCTCAAGCCGTGACCCCGGCCTCCTCACTTCTAATCGACCATGCCAACTCCTCTGATTCTGTCTTCTCTTCAGTCCATCAGCTGTTGAATCCATCCGCTGTAACTTTTGTAGGCAGCCATTGGCCCAGTCACATCTGCAGCCCCATCATGCCACTGTTGTTGCACTCCTCCTTTACAGTCTCTCTGCTGTTTTTATGGAGGGCGGATTCTGCTCTCATGTCCTGTCTGAGGGGCTGATGAGAGTATCTCTCTGTATGTCAGCATGCTGGTTTGGTTCTGGATGCCACAGGTGGAGATAGTTCTGGCTGCAGTCTTGATGTAGTCTTGTTGTTGTTGTTGGTTCAGCTCTGGTTCTCTGTCTGTACGATGGAGAAGGAGGAGTCTCCTGTTGGGTTAGGTCTCGTTGTCTGCTTGGAGGGTCGGGATCAAAGCCTTTCTAACTCAGAGGGGGAGTCCAGGTCCCGGTACACATTACCTATAAGAAGTCTAGCACACTGATGTTAAATAAATCCAACCCTTTCCACTCTGTCTCTTTCTAATCATACTATCTGTCTTAGTTGTTAAATGCCATCTAAACAACATAATTAATGTCTACTTATGATATTACAAAAACTAACTCCAAAATTGTTTCATCCATTGTTACATATTTACCCAACACAACTCTGAAATACTTACATGTTTCCAGCATCACATATTCCACACACTATGAAAGAACATCTCCATATCTTCTCTCATTTTAAATCCCACTGTTACTTCGAACAATAGTAAACCTGCAGAGCACACCAATCGGATCACAGTAATGAAATTTGAATCAAGTGTAGGCCTATGTCTTCTTTCTGAACATTTATTTATATTGTCTACATTTGCAAACAGTTCGAGTGTAAAATGTGTTTTGCACAATGTATTTACACTCTACAGATTCTTGAGTTTACTCATCTCCTGGTGCTGTCGTTGTAAAAAATGTTCAATCCCTTATTGTTTTGTACCAGTTTACCAAACAATACCGGCCAGCAATGTAATGATTAAACTCTAAGCTCGCATAAGTTTCAAGGGTGTGATACCCCCTTTCAGCCACTAGATGGCAGCAGCAGAAGTTTCAAGGGTGTGATACCCCCTTTCAGCCACTAGATGGCAGCAGCAGAAGTTTCCAGACAAAGGGAAACGCTCTACCTTGGTTTAATATATAACAGACCTCTGGCTTTAAGCTTTTAGCATTGGTCTGTTATTTAAACCCCAGTTTTAAACGGCGACTCGATCTGATATATCGAGTTTTCAGGTTTTGCCGTGCAGGATTCAAACCTCGCATTCACACAAACTGCACCATTTCTACGCCACTCAGGAATATTCACCTGCAGATCCGCGCCAAACTGCTCTATTTACGTCACGCAGGACTTCCGTCTACCTGTCGATCCACGTTTACGTTTTGTATATAACTTTCCTAACATAGTAAAATATGCATTGTATATTCCATTTAAACTATAAAAACACTGTGAAACGCCTACAGACAATCCTAAAGTTTTAGCGTATCCAATTACAGACAGGCGACTTTCATCGTCTGCTTACCTTATTTGCAAAGTTGCAGAGTCCTGCTGATTGTCTGAGATGTTTGAAAGCGTCTGAATTCTTCCTCCGCTTCGTTATCTCTAGACGTCGGGGTCACCATTTTGTTAGAGATTTGGAGGGATAACTGGTCCGCTTTTCAAATCTCCGCGCGTTCCTATGAAGCTGGTTATAATACAGGAAGGAATCCATATCTACAAAGTAACCGTTAACAATAATCTACTTTAATGGCAATATGACAATGCAATACAATCATTACAATACAACATGATATATTACAGTTATATTGCAATGCTTAAGGAGTAATGCCGGCTTACTCCTGCTCTAGTCCGCATACTACAGAGCTACTTTCACCCGAGGGCAGCATGTGAAGAAGAGGCCGAACGCCAGGGATCCCCCGGATATATACCAGAGTAAGAAGGAGGCGTTTGGTGTTAGGTCAGCTGGTCATCTTTTCAGGTCATCTCATTGGGAGACGCAACTCTGGCCAGCAGGAAACCAAACAGGCTCACTTTACAACAAAAGGTCTCAAGGCCTGCATACCTACACCTCCCCCACAGAGCCATAAAACCCTGTTTACTCCAACCAGCCCAGAATGTTTATAGCCATTTGTAGTCCTTACATTTATGAAAGGATAAAACAGAGAAATCAATATAAAACACAAACACAGGTATTGTTTGAACAGTATTCACTTAACTGCTACTATTGATAAGCACCAGAGAAACCCAAGAGACCTCTCTTAACCTCACAAACACTGCAGCTAGATCTAAGTTGAATGCAAATCAGGACATGCTCTCCCCTTCCCCCATCTTCCTTTGTCCTCAAAAACACATGTCAACAGGCCCCAAATGCAGCTCACAGTTTTACCCAAATTATTCTCATTTTAAGCTTATCCATAGTTTGCTAACATGAATAAATACAAATATAACTCTACAATGCGGATCACATTTAATCATTGAATACAAAGCAAGTTCCCTAAATGAGTCCTGACAGTCTTTGGTTTCTGGGATGAATGAATGACTTCAAATAATTTGTACTATGCAATTGAATCACTGCAGTTCTTTTGTTTACTTGCTGAAATCCAGGCTACCTCTTCATGCTGACTGGTCACAATGTGGCTGTCATCATATGTATAGTTCTGTTTTGTTTATGAATTTGCTTGCAATATATGCCATTAAAACATAATTGATATTCTGTCTTGTCTGGCTTTCAAAATATTTGACTCTGATGAGCTAACTGGTACTCTGCTTAGAACAAAGAAGTCTGTGCTTATTGCATCACACAATATTTGTGTCTTCTCCACTGTCAGAATGTTAATATTAATGCTAAAACACACTGCTATTAACACCATTTGGAAAACGCTTACGTTTAATTAGCACGTTATATATATTAAAACATCAACTATACTTGTAAGACACTGTTATAGGTTCTTGAATTAAGCTTAAGATTGTCATTTAGTTAAGGTACACATATTTCTCTGCCATAGGACACACTTAATATATTGATACTACTACTAGAGTTATTTATACTAATCAACTGAAAAAATATAATTATAAATCTTTAAAAATATTTTTTTTTAATTGGTAATATAAAAGTACCGGAGTTGATCAAAGTGCACCAGAGATGGCAAAAGTACACACATCCTTTACTCAAGTATAAGTACAGATACTCGTGTTTAAAAATACTCTAGTAAAAGTAGAAGTTCTGACTAAACTTCTTTACTCAAAGTAAAAGTAAAGAAGTATGGGCTTTGAAATGTACTTAATTAAAAAGTACCCATAACTACCATCTGTTTTAAAGAGAAACTGACCTCACTTTATATTAATAGAACAATAATGTCATTGTGAGCTAATGAATGTTTCCATGCTGAACAACGGCAACATGACAACGTTTCCATTGGTCCCTCTTCTTTAGAGAAGACCAGGAAATGATGGATACACGGATCGTGTTCAAATCAATAGGCACGCAATGACTCTAAATAATAATGATCACGCCACCAAACACACATTCAGACTAAAGTAACCAGCCTGTTTTGAAAATGTAAGAAGTAGAAAGTACAAGTATTTGTGTTAAAAATGTAAGAAGGATTAAGTACAGGTATTTGTGTTAAAAATGTAAGAAGTAAAAGTAAAAAGTCGTCAGAAAAACATAAGTAGTGGAGTAAAGTACTGATACCAGAAAAATGTACTTAAGTACATTGACAAAGTATTTGTACTCCACTACTTCCCACCTCTGACGTGCACTCACATGAAACCTGCCTGTGTCAGCGCGGGCCTGTGCCAGAGTGCAGGGGCAGGTAATGAGTTCCTCCAGGAAGTTGGGCAGCTTGTTCTCCAGGACGTCCCACTGCAGACACTGGCTCCTGGCCCAGGCTGCAGACTCATCTCTGAAAGCCTGCTCCAGGTGCCAGGCTAACACATGCCCACCGCTCCAGAGCCCCTCTACATCCCTGCGTATCAACAAACACCATTTTAAGAATATTTGACTTTAATTTTATATTTCAAAGGGAAATAACAGAGTTTAAGCCAGAGCTGAAATTCATTCTGTGGTGGTTAATTGGTCTAATAATCTATTTATCATACTGTCAATCAAATGTCAGGAAAAATTGCACAAAATAAATATACTAACACAATTTCAAAAGCCTGGGGTGACAATACTTAAGTTATTTAACAAGTAGAAAAAGCTTAAAATACCATTATCTTCCTAAGTTTGTTTCTTAAATGTGTCCTTGAGAAATGTTCTATGAAATATCCGCAGGGTCGTGTTGAAAAGAAAGCTTGAGAGAATTAAGTAAATCAGGACAGCCTAAAGTCAGTGGTTACAAATGTTTTAATAGCGTTGATGCCAGTTTAGTGTTTATTTATTTTTAAAAGATCATAAGGCGTTGTAAATTAATTAAAACTTGTATTATATTATTAATATATATATTAAAATAGGCAGTACTACTGTCGATCAGAAAATGTTTACTTACTGTATGTGAGATATTTCTAAGGATGAGGGATGTGTGTTATGGATACCTTGCTCCGTGCGTAGATTAACCAACAAATCCCAATATAGAAAGATTGGTGAATGTCAGAATATTTGTAAAATTTGGTAAGTGGGTTTTAAGGAGACATTTCTTTCTTAAGGGGCCATATTATGCTCATTTTCAGGTTTCATATTTGTATTTTGTGCCTCTCCTGGACATGTTTACATGCTTTAATGTTCAAAAAGACCTTTATTTTTTATCATACTGCCTGTTCTGAAGCACCTCTTTTCACCCTCTGTCTGAAACCATAGCCCAGTCTGCTCTGATTGGTTAGCTTTTCAGCTCTGTTGAGATTGGTCAACCGCTTAGAGATGTCCCACCCCCTTAGACTATCACAAACAACTTGTTGGGATGCTAGCCAATAGAAGCATTAGTGTTACATAGTGATGTGACTATGTTATGGAAGTAAACAAAAGAGTCCAATTTGCATTTCAGGCATGGGGAGATGTCTTGGAGAGAAACTGGGAACTTTTGGATTTTAGTCTTTGCATACCATTTACATGCACTAAAACCACAAGAAGCATAATAGGGACTTTTATGAATAAAGTCCAATGCTGTCCCTGTAGTTCTTTATTGTCATACTGATATTCTGTACAAACTGTGAAGTCCACTGAGACAAATGTAACATTTGTGATATTGGGCTATATAAATAAACATTGATTGATTGATTGACTGACTGATTGATTTAAGATTGTATTAAGCTTTAAAATAGGCAGTACTACTGTCGATCAGACATTTTTTACTTATGTGAGATATTTCTAAGGATGAGGGATATGTGTTATGGATACCTTGCTCCATCCGACTTAGAACTAGCAGTGATGCGAATGTTTCCCAACTTCCAGTCGGAGTAGTCCTCTGAGGGCTCGGGGACGAAGCTGAAGGCACCAGTGTTGGGCAGATTCCTTCCGAGGGAGTACAGGTAGCTCAGCTCGGCCTGCAGAGAGGATGATCCGTTCACCCCCACCTCAGTGCTCCTGCTGAACTCTCTGTAACCCCACAGCTCTATGTTGACCGTCTCTGCACCAATCAAAGAGCTGTTCCATGTCATCTTTAGCCGTCCAGACACGTTTGGTGTGCCGTAGTACTGCCACTGTGTTGCATTCACCAGGATGACTTCAAAGGCAGGGTCAGCCTTACTGGGGTGGACTAACAGTAAAAACCAGAAAAGATTTAGGGGATCACACAGGTTTGCTCTGCCAAGAGTTGTGCAGATTCAACATAAAACATGTCGGACAACGATAACACACATGAGAAAATAACTGCATTGAGAAGCTACTTTTGCTTAATAAAAAGTATTGATCAAGTGGTTGCATAAATGGTTTGTCCGTTCAGCTTTTCATAGCGGAACCACCTTTTCAGAACATTTATTTCTTTATTTGAAATGCCACCTTATAAGCTTTACCTGAAATGATACATTCAGAGGAGGTATTTCTTAAAATGTTCATTTTAAATAATGTTTCCTGATACTCACTCATGTATAATGGAATTGACATGACACAAGTCAATTCAGAAGTGGAAAAAATATATATATTCTAGAAACACACCTGACAAGAACTCTCCAGATCTGTCAAAATGTATCCCGTCAATTGAGACAGTAAATGGTATCCAACCTGTCTCGTACAATAAAGGAGAGATACAGTAGCCGTGGCCTTCATCATCAATAAATCCTTCTCGTTCAATTTCACCCTTGAACCTTCAAATGAAAAAGGCACATTTGGTTTTATTTGTTTATGGCATGTTACGTTACATACTACTCGGCCTTCAATACAATTTGTATTCTGTAAACACTCCGACATTCTAGAGTAGTAGAATAACCTTTCAAAATACCTTCATTCAACATTTAATGACAGTCAATAAATATTATGTCTTTCTCAGGATGAAATGTGCAGCTTTTATCACTCCTGAAATAAAGGATAAACTATTTTATATATTAGACTTGCATTTAAACCGCATTATCTGAAAAATCTAATTTGTTAATCCAAAGTAATTGTGATATTTTGAATCTTTTTTCATCTGCTTTTATAAACAGGGTTATCATTATTGTAATTATTGTATTTATATTATTATTATTATTGATATAAAAATAACCCATGTGTGCCACTTCTTTAATGAAAGCGACTCTGCTGATCGACAAATACGTTTTTGCAAAATAACTAATTTTTGCTTTTTTTACAACTCCAACAAATTACTTATTACACTGAAAAGATATATGATCTTAAATTATATGTTATTTTACAGTAAGCAACGTTTTTTCGATTTTCTCAGGATTACTTTTCTGAAAAATATTGGAATTCACACACAAATATCAGTAACGAATACTTAATTGGATAGTAAGTAGCCTTGCACAGAACAAAGTCTAATGAAAAACACATGGACTTTGTCAAAAAAACTCATATGATCTGTATATAGTGTACATATTTTCACTGTGAGAACCTAATCAGATGATGAGTACTAGATTAAGATCATGAATACGTCAGCCGTGGTTGTAGACACAAACCTGCAGAGAAGTCGCCCACCAGGATGAAGGGCCACGCCGAGGATCCTGAGAGCTCTACCGCCTAGCATGGCGCTGGAGTGAGGCGTCACCTGGACACACGACTGGTTGTAATCTGCACAACAATTCAGCAAAGACACACAGGTTGCATGACAGGAGCATTTCTCCAACACGTCTCCACACTGTCCCCTGCATGTTTGATCTAGTGAAAAACATACAAAACATTTTAAATAAAAACAATGGTGAAGAAAGTATTCAGATTAGTTATTAAGGAAACAATGCCACTGTGTAAAAAGGCTAAATAAGTCCTGCTATACATTTACAAAAGAAAAGTACATATGTATCCCATTTGAGTATACATGATATTGTTGAATTATAATTATGGATGTTATTAATGTGTTCATCACAATGTTGCAGCTGGTGGGGCTACATTTTTAAATAGTACACACACACATATTTATTTATGAATGTATGTATGTTAATGGAGTGAATTGAAAATACGTCTGAATATTAAAGGACATTTTGTATACGAAATAGAACATCGAAATATTCAGGTTGTTGCATCTAGTGAAAATGCACAATGCAAATAAGTTATAAAACGCCCATTTAATTTAATCTATTCAAAGGGAAAAATAATAAGGGGCGATTTTATATTTGAACAGCAGGTCAGCAGCTAGCTCATGTTTATAAATACTTTGAAAAGTTACTTACCAGCTGTTTTAGATGAGAAAAGGAGAAAGATTCCACAGAGAACAATGTTCTCTTTTAAATGCCCTCTCGTGTGCATGGTAAAGAACAACATAACACTGCGCGAACACATGGAACACACACATCTGCCCTACACCACGCTTTGTGGGAAACTACCATTGAGTTGTATCTGAGTGTCAAAGGTCATTTAAATAGCAAACAGACTTTCCAATGACAGTTATGAAGTTATAAATGAACAGACGTTGGACAGTAAAATAAAGGTCTTACACAAACACTATTTACAGTGTATGCTTTACAAAACGCACACTGTCTTGTTTATGCAGTTGTTTTCTAAGACATGTTTGCTAGTATTGTAAATGTTGTTAAAATCCTGGGATAATTCACGTGTAAATTCTCGCGAGACCTTACGGGATTTTAGCATTTCGCGCATGTGCAGTTCATGACACTCCACATCTCCCAGTAAAGAATGAATGATATGGAGGAGGGGGATTGTCAAATTGAATCAAAAACAATTTCTTGTTATGATTAATCCCTTCTGGATAATTTTCGCAACGTTTGACGTGACAAGCAGCACAGTGGAGGAATAGTATGAGATGGGAATGAGGTATTTCTTATTCAACTAGCAAGCTAGCTGACGTTAGCTATAGGCTCACATAGCCAGCAGCATCAGTACTGTAGTTCATAATAGGCTAACAAAACACAGAAAAATGTACTTTCTCTACACAATTATCGCGTCTTTAGCCGTTTTCTTCATTTTGAAATGGTTGAAAAAGAGGAGATATTGCACTGACCTAAGAAGACTTGATGGCAAAACAATTCTCATTACAGGTAAATTGACATGTCTTGTTCATTGCAACGCATCCCTTAGTTATTTCGTGTAGTAATAGAATGTACTGTATGTGTAGCTCAGTGTGGATTCAATTGCTAATGATTATACCAAACATCCCTGCCTGTTGTTGCCTAATATAATCATAACAACCTGCTTATTTAGTTAATGTTACTGCTTCCATTGTATTCCACACATTCATTTTATATTTGTGTCTATTCAAGGTGGGAATTCTGGCATTGGCAAGGAGACAGCCATTGCATTGGCCATGAGAGGTGCTCGGGTCATCATCGCTTGCAGAGACCCGGACAAGGCTGAGAAGGCTGTGAGGGAGATCAAGTTGAAGAGTCACAGCCTTAACGTCCTCCACATGGAGCTGGACCTGGCCAACCTGAGCTCTGTGAGGGAGTTCTGTAAGAGCTTCCTGCAGAGAGAGAAGAAGCTTGACATCCTGGTCAATAATGCAGGTCAGGCAGTCCACCACAATTCTTAATACAGGACTGATGCCACCAAAGAAAGAGGCACAAATGTTATTCTTTAAAGTGATGACTTAGAAGTTTGTTTGGTCGCATGTTAGAGTTGACCTGCTAATATTACAGTAAAGATTTGTTGGCTTTTTTCTTGTCGTGTGTCCAGGCATTAAGGTTGCTGTCGTGTACAGATTGTGCAGCAACAGGAGCTAAAAGCCATTGTTGTGACTTCTTTCTTCACTCTCTGTGGCGCTTCCTCAGGCATGCCCGGTGTCCTCGAGTGGACAGACAACAACTTCAGCATGTGTTTTGGCGTCAACCACTTGGGTCACTTCCTGCTAACCAACCTGCTTCTGCCTCGCCTGAAGGAATGTGCCCCCAGCCGGGTGATCACCCTCACATGCTCCAGCTACAAATACCAGAAACTGGACTTCCAGGACCTCAACTACAACCAGCTGCCCTTCTTCACCTACTGCCGCAGCAAGCTGGCTAACATCTACTTCAGTCAGGAAGTGGCCCGCGTCACTGAAGGGAAAGGAGTGACCTCCTATGCTGTGCACCCCGGTAAGAGGGCCTGTTTTGATGCTGCTCTTGTCCTGCACTGGTGTCCAACTGGGTGTTTATTGCATATTCTGTCCACCTGCTTACAGAACAATACAGGTTACTGTCAACGGAAGTTTAATGTAGCACAATGTGATGCTAAATTCATAGATTTTTTTTTCCTGACATATTATAGAGAAACAAATGATCAATTGTAGTGAAGTTACAGCTTTTTATCTTTTATTAAAATTGAGTATTTTTTTTACTTTCAGTTTAAAAAAGACAATTGATATATCCATGTATTATATTATACATTTATTTACAATCCACATATTTTTACATTTAGGGGTGGGCTATAAAGCAAAAAAAAAAACTATTAAAACTGTGTATTAAACATGACTGGACAGTTTACATTAAAATAGCTCTTATTGTTCATATTAGTGTTTGTATCACACCATCTGGTTACAATGGTTGAAAATCAATGAGCAGGGCTTCTTCATGACAGTATTGTACACAGGAAATGAATGAACCAAAACAGACTTTGCTATATTATTTTATTGATTAAACATTCTCAATTGACTTTATCACAACCCTATCACAAGATATACTTAAAACCTGATTTATAATTACTCATTACTAAGATTATAATCATATTGCCAGCCCAAAGACAGTCTGTGTATTCCTGATGCTTAACATTTCTCCTCACACCTGTGTTGCTCCAGGTTTCGTCCAAAGTGGCTGGACGTGCCACTACTCCATCCTGTTCCGGATGCTGGTGCAGGTGATCATGTGGATGTTTTTCGTGCCATGTGAGATCGGAGCTCAGACTGTCATCTACTGTGCTGTGTCAGATGAAGCAGCCAAACACAGCGGGGGTTACTTCATCGACTGCAGACCAGCTACTCTGCGTCCTTTCGCAAGAGACGCTGCTGTGGCAAAGAAACTGTGGGAGGCCAGTGAGAGACTGGTGAACCTGGCCTGATGGGAAGCTGGGGGACTGATTCTGAGAGATATTTATGTTCACATACTTATTTTTATTAATTTTTTCCATTGATATGTTTGCTATGTTTTTCCATTGATATGTTTGTGTGCAATGTATTCAGGGAGGTTTGTGAGTTATTTCATAAACAAACGGTTCACCCTGGTCATTGACATGTTTGTATAAGGCCGAACAAATCTTGTTCTTTTGTGTGCTTGTGAATTTCAAAAGGAACTGTTTTGCCATTGTCCATAGTTAATCGCGATTAATCGCACATTTTTTATCTGTTCTAAATGTACGTTAGAGGAATATTTTTCAAGTTTTTAATACTCTTATCAACATATGAGTGGACAAATATGCTTTATGCTAATGTTTATTATCATTTGAACAATGACAAATATTCTCATGAATATTAAACACAACAACCTCTGAACATTACAAATATTCGCCTCAATTCAACCTGGAACCTCTCTCATACAATACTGTGTGTGTGTGTGTGTGTGTGTGTGTGTGTGTGTGTGTGTGTGTGTGTGTGTGTGAGTGAGTGAGTGAGTGAGTGAGTGAGTGAGTGAGTGAGTGAGTGAGTGAGAGAGAGAGAGTGTGAGAGATCGTTGGAGCTATGTGCAACTCAAGGCATATGCTCGAACGGGAGCTGCCTGGACGCTGCGATCATGTTGCACTATCCGAGCTGAGTGTGCTGACTTTTCGTACTGTCTGGCTCCTGCATAAAGTCAAGTGCTCGGCGCAGTTGTCGGCGAAATGTCGCTCCTCTGTTTTCATTGAAACAGCTCCTTATATCCAGTACTCGAGTTGAGGGGGGGATGGCATCCCCCCTGAAATAAAAACGGTCAAAATCATCCCCCTTCTAAAACTGCCATTCCCCCTTTCCATCCCTTATGTAATTTTATCAATGAACGTGGCACTGGTATTACTGCTATTTCAACATTAATTTTGCGCATTTTGAGTAAAATACTGTGGGTGAGGGAGCACGCACACATGCAATGACATTTTTACCAAGTCACTGACGCTATACTATGCGAGTGCCCTAGAGGGCGCCAGAGCGCCGTGATGCGCTTGTTTGATCGATGCCAGAAGCGCAGGTAACGGTCATCACAATGGCCAAGCAACCAGGAGGACAACGCGATCTGAGGGACTTCATATTTAAAAATACTAAAAATAACATTTCAGTTAAGTCAAGAGTCAGTAATCTTAGTCATTACTCACTATTTAGTCACCAAAGGTGGAATCAATGGACATAAGCAGCAATAACAACTTAGTTTGGAGTTTAGCTACGTTTTTCTCTCGTGTTAGCTAGCTGGTAAGACTCAAAACTGTTGATGAAATGATCCCACCAGCACCAGAAGAGCTGAAACCCCTCCTTCAAGCAGTGAACACTCTGGTCATCTCCACAGCTGAGTGTGAACGTGGGTTTAGTCAGATGAACATTTTAACCACAACTAGAAGCTCCATAGAGGTAAAAAGCATGTCAGCCTTGCTTTTCATCAAGTGTGTTGGCCCTCCACTGAACAAGTTCAGACCAGAGGTATACGTCAAGACTTGGCTTCAAAGCCATTGCTTAGCTAACAATCCGAAAGCAAGAGCCAGAAAATTGAGACCAAAAAACATGATTATGAAAATCTTTGGAAACTTCTATGAGATGGGGGAGAGTGGAGTAGGCAGCCATTGACAACATTGGTCCTATTTTGTATTATCTGTATAATCTTTTAATATATTTTCATATTTTGTAAACAATTTCAATTTGCACTTAATGCCCTGTTAAAAAAAAGTAACATTGGGAATGTTAACATAACATATTTGTATTTGAAATGCAATAAAATGATGACGGATCAATTTTTTTCTAATTTTTTTCCTCACATTTTTCATGAAGAATTTACATAATGATTTAATTAATTACGATACAAATGTAACCCTTTAGATACCAGTTTTGATCGTATACCAGTAACTGCTTTTTTGAAAAAATACACTATAATTCAATATTCTAAAATCAATTTTGACTTTATTATTAGTATAATCAGTTGATCCATCTGAATAATAAATGAGGGACTGTTAACCTACAAGATTTGTACCATATACTTCCATTATAACCACATTTTTGTATTCCCTCCCCCCCTTTAAATTAAAGTGAAAAAAAGATTTTGCACTAATTGTCCTCTGCATTTGACCCTAAATGTTAGTGGTGCCATGGCAGCCCGGGGACCGACTCTAATTCTGAGGTGCCTTGGTCAAGAGCAATGAAAGGAGTATCTGAACATCCATAACATGCATGTTGTTTTAGGAGTATAATAATTATCTTTATGCTGGTTGGTCTCCCACCCTCGGCGGGTTATCAGCACAAATTATGTCCCCATGTGATAAAATCCACCATCCCCCCTGATTTTTTTTTACAACTTGAGTACTGCTTAAATCCGTTAGCGCAGCTAACTAGCATTGATTGATTGATTGAAAAGTGTATTAACAGCTTGTATATTGGGTACAGTACAGTACAGCTCAAAACATACAATTGTTAAGGGGATGCAGACCAGAGAAAGACTTTCGTCTTGTTTACATCAGGGTCCCCCATTTCCAATTCATCATGTCATTTAAGACATATAAGACATATTTGACATACAGATGGCTTATTTACAATTTACATACAGGTGTTTTTTTTTTTACATACAGATTGCTTGTTTACAATTTTCATTTTAGATTTCGTTCTAATACATCCTAACCGGACATTTAAGACATACCAAGTCTACAGATATACAGTTAGTAACAGAGTCTAAAATGCGAGTATATACATAGATGGGGGGGGGGGGGAAGCTGTCCATTGAACGACAGGTTGAGATTTGTACCATTACCGGGGCCAGTTTTGCAATGCTCTCCCCCGAAGGTGCTCTTTAAGAGAGGGTTTGAAGGTAAGTATAGTTTTACTTTCCTTTACAGTTGTGGGAAGAGCGTTCCACCTTGATGTGGCATAATTGCGAAACGTGTATTCCCCCTTTTTTGTGCCAAATCTGGGTTTCACATGATTTGTGGAGCTCCCTCTGGTGTTATGATCATGGTATTCCTTGACCTTTGGGAAGAATTTTGACATGTACATGGGTACCATAGAGGTGTAGTGGATCTTGTAGACCAGGCCCATTGCAAGTAGCTGTACTCTGTCGTCTAGCACCAGATGCTAACAACAACAATACACGTAAAGGTCTCTCCCGGTGTCAGTACCAGATATGTTCGGGCTACCAGATATGTTCGGGTGTATTTCCGTCGCATCCGTCATATTCGTCATATTTTACGGCAACTCAAGAGGGCCATCACGGTCAAATTCCGAACATTTAAACATAGCCGACACTTCATTCTTTAGTTTGTCCGTTATTATACGTAGAAGATTATACTTTTTCTCCGTCATGTTGTTTCCTTAGCAACAACTTCAAACAGGCATAGCCTACACTTCATTCTTTACTTTGTCCGTTATTATATGTAGAAGATATTAATTAGTTCTCCGTCATGTTGTTTCCATAGCAACAACTTCAAACAATAACAACTAACCGCTAGCCGCAAAGCTAGCATCACAGCCACTGCTCCGTTTTCGGAGACTTTGCACACGTTTTTCACAAACATGTTCACACGCTAGGAGTACTTCCAATAGCTTCGTCTTGATCTGTAGATGTGATTTGATGTGTCGTGTGTCCCCCAACTCCTCTCCAAAGTTCAGATATTTAATAAAATACTCAGGGGAGTTTCCTGAATGTTCATGCCCAAAGCCAAGCACTAGGCCCTGGGTAAATTAAGAGGCTGATCTCGGGCACTTTTGTCCACTTTCCCTGGTGGCCGAAACTCAAGCCAGACATCCATGGAATCGTCTCAGAGAGTAGATGATCAGTGGGGCCTTGTTTTTACTGAATGATGTGTTTTTTTATGGGGAATTCAAATATGAGCTTATTTTTAGGATTTTCGGAGACTTTGCACACGTTTTCACAAACATTTTGCCAATGGCCAGTCAGGGCCTGCCGGTGAGCGTGGAAGTGTGGTCCGCAGCAAGCGGGCGGCAGGAGCGGGGCTGTCAGCATCAGCTTGTAGATGGTATTTTAAACTCGATGCGCTCTGAATCTACGGGGTGGCCGAGGTCAAAAAATGCACATGCGTTAATCGCGTTAAAATAATTAGTGGCGTTAATTTTTTTTGTTGCGTTAACTTGCGTTGCGTTTGTGGTTTTACAAAAAATTCTCAGGCATTTCACGTGAAAAATCACTGCATTATCTGTTAATTTAACCAACACCACCATCTGCTGGTAGGAGAATTCATTGTCAGTTTTCAGTTATCAAACTGAAACCTGATTTACCGCCATTTCTGAACGGAGCCGAGACGCCATTACAGGGTGGAGAATCTTCACTTTGAACACAAACTAGAAGGATACTAATCTGTTATTCAAAAGGGACACTGATTTGGCGAGTCTTGCTGTTAAGGGACCATTCAAATATCTGAGAAAATGGCTGAGAAAACCGCTCTTTTTGAAAGTTTCCTGAGCTGCCATGTGTGTTCAGAGACTTTCAGAGATCCTGTGTCTCTGAGCTGCAACCACAGCTTCTGTTCGAGCTGCCTGCAGAGATTCTGGGAACAAAGTAAGAACAAAAACTGTCCCATTTGTAAGAGAAAGTCCACAACAGACGAACCGGCAGTGAATTTAACTCTGAAGGAGCTGGCTGACTCCTTTGATGAGAGGCAGACAAACGGTTCACCTGAGACAGAAAAAGGAAAGGAGGAAGAGGAGGTGGTGTGTAGTAAACATCCAGAAGTCCCTTATTGGTTCTGTAAGGATGAAGATAGAGCTGTGTGTCCTGTCTGTGAGTTTTCTCTCCACCACAGTCACAAGGTGGTTCCTGTAGAACAAGCAGTCAGTGAGCTGAAGGACCTGCTGAAAGCTGACTTAGAGTCTCTGCAGGACAAGAGGGACAAATACAAACGAGTGGAGAAAACTTACAATGAAGTGACTCAAGTGTCCAAGAAGCAGCTGCTGTCCACAGAGAGGCAGATCAGAGCAGAGTTCAACAAGCTCCATCAGTTCCTGAAAGAGGAAGAGGAGTCCAGACTGGCAGCTCTGAGGGAGGAAGAGGAGCAGAAGGGGAAGACTATCAGCAGAGAGATGAAGAGCATTCAGGAGCACATTTCCTCTCTGTCACACAGTATCTCTGCTGTTGAAGAAGAGCTGCAGAAACACAACGGGCCCTTCCTCAGCAGTTATAAAGCCACTCAGAGCAGAGTCCAGAGCTCACTGTCAGACCCACAGCTGCTCTCAGGAGCACTGACAGATGTGGCCAAACACCTGGGCAACCTGTCCTTCAGAGTCTGGGAGAAGATGAAGGACCAGGTCCACTTCAATACTGTCATTCTGGACCCAAACACTGCAAGCCCCTGGCTCTATCTGTCTGACGATCTGACCAGTGTGAGACGTGGAGACACATCTCAGCAGCTTCCTGATAATCCAGAGAGATTCACTAAGTATGCTGATGTTCAGGGCTCTGAGGGCTTCAGCTCAGGGAGACACAGCTGGGAGGTGGAGGTGGGAGATCATCCTGTCTGGAATATAGGTTTGACTAAAGAGTCAGCTGACAGGAAGGGAAATACATTTGTCTCACCAGAATATGGAATCTGGTGTTTATCACTTCGCAGTGGAAAATACTCTAATGGTGATGGTGAGACTGTCAGAGTGGAGAAGAATCTCCAGAGGATCAGAGTCCAGCTGGACTATGACAGGGGGGAGGTGTCCTTCTACGACCCTGAAGACATGACTCCCATCTGCACTCACAGAGACACTTTCACTGAGGAACTCTTCCCATGGTTCAGTATTGGAAAAGCTGGTGATGCTAAAACTGCTGATGTCAAAATCTGTCCAACTGAGAATCCCCTGAGATGCTCAGGTAGTGTGGTGAGGTCTAAGTGATTTATCATTTTGTTTAAGTGGTGTTTTTTGTCAGTTAAAAATAATTCTAGTTAGTTGTTTAAAGATGTCAATCCTGCAGTTTGAAAGTTGAATAACATTCAGAGATCCGGGTTACAGAAATAAATAAGCCCTTTTCTCTTTCAGAGGATAACATTAACTTCTTTTATACAATTAAATAGCAAATTCAGAATGACACACTAAAGCATAAAGTTAGAATTAAGAAAATGGTGTTTGTAATGTAAATATGTTGAAAAACGGGTTCATTGAAAGCAATCACTTTGTGTCACTTGTTTCCATTAATATTTCTAGAGATGAGAAATAACCATAATTACGTACTAACTGTACGTTTGATCTTTATGTGTAAATCATTTAAACACAGAAAGCCTTTTCTTTTTATTGTTGTACTTTCACAATAACTTCTTATTTTTGAATTTCCCAATTATTGAATAGCTCTCTCTAAACGGTATTATCCCAGAGACTACTGTATATGATCCTGATACATTAACATCAGTGTTTGACACATGTTGTGTTTAGTGCAGCTGTGTATTATTCACCCGTCATCTGTTTATCATGTGTGACTGTTGACCGTCAGACATTTCATATATTATTTCATTTTTGTAATAACTTTTGTTAATGTTTATATTTTTCTTCAAGGTTAGATCAGAGGATCACAAAATTGCAAGAAAACAAACAAAATGTTCTTTTAGAAATAGTTTAGATTAGTTTAGCAAAAACCAATAAAGTGAATCATAAGTTAATAAATGTTGATATTGTTTGTTGTTGATAAGTATCAGAAAATATATAAATAATAAAAACCTCAAATTTGGGCAAATGTTTGGATTATTTTCTTGATAAATGATTGTAACGATGAACAGTTGTTTAAATTGGTATGGATATGGATTGATATATATAGCTGGCATTAAACTAAACATCTACAAGGAGTCTAATTTAAAATAAAACATTAAAAATGCTGACAAAGCTCTGACTAAGTCTTTAAGTTGTGGATGTAGAAATGTTTGGCCCATTTTAAAACTAACCACTAACATTAATCTTGTCTTTATCTTTGAATAGCAGCATTTATTTTACCTTTATTGAACATAAATGTATCAATGTGTTTGTTACTGCCCATTAGATGTGAATCTTGTTCTCTACGTGGTCAGGAAGAAACATTAATGGCTTCTGTCCCGAGTTACTTACTAAATATCAAAGCTGAAACAGATTCACTTTTCTATTTAAATGATCATTTTATTGATAACACCTTAACACATTGCCTTGAAGTTATAGAAACACGTGTAAGAGAACAGAGCAATAATCAGAAGAGTCAGGGAACTAGAGGGTTAATATTATTGTACAGAAGAAAGTGGCAAAAAGAGACAATGGGAAACCAGAAAGGGCCAACTGCAGAGAAATGATGGAGTTAGGATGGAAACAGAGGGAATGGGAGAAAGAGGGAAAGAGCCCAGAGGAAGAGGAGCCAGCTCCGTGTTGTCAGTGCCACTTGTTCACTGTCTGGAGAAAGAAGATGGCCGAGGTTCAGAGAGAAACAGAGGCTCCAGTTTAACTCAGTAACGCTTCACGTGAAACAAACAGCTGACAGGAAGGCAGCAGAGAGTAGTGATTGTAGTTTATATGTGTATATCGCTTTTTTTCATATTAGCTTTAATCATTCATACAACATCATGATATATCAAAGTTTTTACATTTATTTAGTTAAAAATGTAAAACATGTCTGTGATGAAAAGTATTTTTGATACAATGCGATACAAGGGGAAATTGTCATGTATCAACATCATGATGTAATCAGAACGGGTGTTTAGGACATACTTGTGCAGCCCTGATCGATCATTAAATTGTGAGCTTCTCCTTGTTCTACAGAGATAAACCTCTTTGTGTTTCTCAGATACGTCAAAGGCAGCCCTTCTGCACTGACAACACAGAGCCCCATAGGAAAGCATGCAAACTCATTTTCATGACATCCTCATCTTCACGGTCAACATCCTCATGGTGCCACAATCATTAACATCCTGATCAACTTCACAATATCATTTTGAGACAAAAATAGTTATATGCACTTAAAAAGCTGAGAAAATAGACAGAGAAAGGTTGAGTATACCAGCATTCAGGAGAACATGAGAAACCAAATATAAAGCAAAACAGCAAGTGTCCTGTTGACAGTCATGCAAAAAAAAAAGCCAGCTACGATGCTAACTAGCTAGTTAGCTGCAGTTGTTTATTACCGTCTGCTACCTCATTTGTGAAACTATTATGGTGATCATCAAGGGTAGTAAACACACTATGAAGAAAAAAGAACAACACCTGTGTACTGTACATGCTGCTATCTCCTTTTTTTGGAAGGGGGTGGGGGAGTCTGGTCAGCACGACCACGCATTGAACACACCTGCGGGTAACCTTTGACCTTTTACTTTTAGTACAGGGTCAACTTAACACTGTTACTTTATGAGACACGATTTTATAACTACTAATCGGTTGACCTTGATAAAAAAAAAACATCCTTCCTTTGATAAAAGCTTCATCCCCTAAATAAGGATCGATGATGGGACAAAATACAATCCTGTATTATATGAGATTCAAAGAGATAGATGGTAATGACCTAAGTGGAAGACAACGGTGGGCACCATAAAACAACGGAAATAATGTTAAAGACAACTTCAATCAAAGGTTGTAGAGGAAAATAAGCAGGAAAATAATAATAAATCACACCATGTTGGTCGTTACAAAAAAACAAAACACATGCAGGATGCAAATTGGGTGTACTATCCCTTTAAAAACTGTGTTTTACACGGAGCAGTTTCCCTTTAAACAACGACAGACAGTACTTGCACGAATGCATGAGCTGTAAAATAGGAGAAAAAAAAACACAGTACAAATATCCACTTAAAATAAATAAATAAATAGAAACCTGAGGACTATTCACCAAACCGACTGCCCGGTCTCTTTTATATCTTGGTCTGACCAATAGGAGCGAGACAAACGTGAAGGCAGCCAATGGTGGACAAGCGAAGTACAGAGGAGCTTATCGCAAGAAAGAAACCCAACAAAAACGGTTTTCAGTCTTGCAAACTCAATCGGATAAATCCTGCCACCGCTGGCACAAGCACTTCATATCATAAAAAGCTGATAAAAACACAATACATGAAAAAAAACATAAAATTCACAAGATAAAAAGTCCACATCTGAAGGCAGGGGACTGATATGTCCTCCGAAATAACGCCTTCTCTTTCCATCCTCACACAACACAAACCTCAAATATATAATCTATAGACTTGTAAAGAACACACACACGCACACACACGTTCTGTACATGCTGGCAGACACACCCATAGGACGGCTCTGAATGAGGAACCAGACCACAGAAGAGAGAAGCCCAAAGCTTGTGATCTAATGCTATGGCGTGAAACTCCTCACACTTGTAGAGGCTTTAAACACACATCAGTAATGAAGACTCAAAAGTGTGTAAGTGCTGAAAGTTACTGGAAGTGAGAAAGGTCTATCCTCCACTTTTGTTATTTTGATTGTTAAAAGAGGAACCGGCTGTTGTGTTTTCAGCAAAGCACAGAGATTTCAGCGTTAAAAATATCTTGACTTTTAAGAAAAACACTTTATGCTTCAAGCGGATATTCAGCTGTTGCCTAGCAAAGTCTCAATCATACATCGAAAAAAATGTAGATTTTGTCTGGATTATTATTGTGTGAGAAAGGGCAGCATGTCACTCCAACTGTAGCAAAAATAGTGCTCAGTTTCATGCGTTTACAATAACTAACTTTGAAGTCAGTATGATATATTACACTTGTTATCATGAGCCCCCAAAAATATGTAAAAGAACGTCTGAATCTAGTTAAAAATAAATGAATAATGTTTGGTTCCTATGACATCTGCTTTATTATCTGGATGCTTTTCTCACAGAACATGTGGAAGTTGTCATAAGGTAACAATAATTAAGTCTGTATGTCCTTTCATAGATTTAACATCTTGTAATATTAAGAACATTCTAATGATTCTCATGATGGCAGCAGTACAAAACCACAAAGGGAACATTCTTGCTTACAGAAAACATGTATTCTTTTTTGAGACCTGGGTAAAACTCCTATTGCGTGCGTTTTTGTATGTTTTTTTGAGACAGGAAGACACTGAGCTTAGATAACCCATTCTACGGTGGTTGCAGCGAGGGAAACACCAGATTCCTCAAACTGTCATTACATCTCGCACTATGCATGGGCTCTCCTTTTGCACATTCACACTTTCATAAAGACTCACTCTCAACATTCACACATCGGACCCACCCCTTCCAAAAAAAAGAACTCCCCAAAACAATCAAAAACATGTGCATGTGTTTGGGCGCAGAATCATAGCTAACATAAAGAAGCAAATGACCAAAAACTGCCAATATCATTTTCCACTTAATAGCCACAATAAAAAACAGCCACTGTTAATATAGGGGGAAAAACATGCTTCCTTAAAAAGATAAGAGAAAAAACTAAAAAACCCTTCGACTCTAAAAACCACTGGCATCAGAAATGTTGAATTATACAAATTACATATACAATTGCAACTGTGTGATGATAATAATAATATAGTAATGATAATAATAGATTTGACTTAAAACTTTACATAACGTATTTCCAGTGCAGTTTTTATGTCACACAAGTGTAGATTCACAGGAGGACAAGAGGGTTGATATAAGGAAGAAGGAACACCCCCCCCCCCCCAACACCCAGTGTGGTGAGGGATGTCGAGTTGTCGTTTGATATTTGGTCAGAAGATGTTGTAGGACAGGTGACAAGCAAAGGGGAGAGTAGTAGTAGAATAAAAATAAGAAGAGATGCATGCTGGGGGTTGAGGCTGGGCGTCCAGTGAAGGGGGGTTTGTTGATGAGGGGCCTTTCCCCAAACCGACACTGGACTTGTTCTTTCGTCCTCTCCTCGTCCTTCTGCTGATCACTCCCGACAGACAAAGATATTGCATTCCACCCTGAAAAAGAAAACAAAACCGCATTATTAATGTATGACTGAGATCAGATCTTCACATTGAAAGGAATAGTTCGACATTTTGGGATATTGGCTTATTTGCTTCCTTGCCAAATGTTTCTATGGATTACTGAATTAATGCTGATGATGTCATCCCCCTTATTAACGCAACACATTCAAGTATTGATCAGTTTCTTCCGCTTAAAGAGGCCCTATTATTCTTTGTAGGGTTTTCTCTTTCCTGTAATGTGTTATATACTGTAGCTTTTTGTGCATGTAAATGGTCTGCAAAGGATCAAATCCGGCCAGCTAACCAATCAGAGCAGACTGGGCTCTGGTTTCAGACAGAGGGTGAAATGAGGTGCTGCAGCAAGAGCTTTTTGAACTTTAAAGCATGGAGTAAAGTAACAGTAGAGGCACAAAATGCTATGCAGAATCTTTAAAACTTGATTTCTTTTCACTGCAGTTTTTGAACAAATTGCTGACAGGTTTATTTATACAAATTGGACAATGTTTGTTGGTTTGAATTTCAATTATAAATATTTATTAAAAACAAGTCTGACCGGAATCATACAAAACCTAAGGATGACTGTGTGTCAAGCAGTATGGCTACAGAATCAGCTTAATGCTACAATCAAAAAAAGAATAAATAAATGCAGTTGATGAAACACCACACAGTACATGAGGAGCAGAAGCAAAAGTAAATTCATGGAAGTATCTTAATGGTTTCCTATCATGCAAAATGCACGTTTTGATGTCTTTTATACAGAAATGTGTCCCCGGTGTGTCAGGGAACTCACAAAGTGTCAGAAAATAAAACCCTGTCTCTTTTCCTCCTTACCCAAATCTCTAAAAACAGGGGTACAACGGAGCCGATCCAGATTTGCTGCGGTCATGACGACATTACTAAAATGTGGGCTGGCATCAGAAACGTCGCTATCAGAAACAATGCGCAACGTGTTTTGGAAGTAATATGGTCTTTGTTTACATTAGCAAGTAACGCTGTACTGGAGAGAGTATGTGTAAAAGAGCAGGATATAAAAAAAGGAACTCACCTTGTGATGAACCCGCAAGAGAAAAAGCATTTGAGCTCCATACTGTTTCAGAAATAATCCTTGATGTGGTTTTGAACATGATATTGCGTTTAATCCCGGCAGCGTTTAGCTGAGTATCTCGTAGAATTCTCCTGAAAGGCTAAGCTCCACCCCCCTTTTTTTTGTTTTAAAGCTACAGACCCAGAATCAGCACTTCTCTAACAGGGCTGAAATAGAGGGATATGAGGCATGGCTAGAATGGGTGATCTGTTTGGTATTTTTAGCAAAACACTTCATAGCCTTTTTTTAAATAGATTTTATATAAACATAGTATAATAGCAGACCTTTAACCCTCCTGTTGTCTTCGGGTCAAATCTGACCGATTTACTACTTTCATCAATCATAACTTTTTTGTTTTACATTCGATTGCATTAAGGCTTTATGATATCCTTCACAGTAGACATTTGAACATATAAAATGGCTGATCACCACTTTATTTGAATTTTGGATGATTTAGTCAACTTTGTAACATCCATGGTGTTCCCAGAAAAGGAATTAGTAACCATCCGCAGTTTTTCATGTATACCAGTAGTCTGATACAATATTTACAGTTTGAAAGGGAGTTAAATGAAATTTGGTGATGATTAATGTTTGTTGTGTTAATGTAATAGCAGTTAAAACAGGACCGGTCAAATTTGACAGCGAACACCAAAGTAAGGGGGGGAAACGAAGACAATAGGAGGGTTAGAGAATTCATTCTGTGGGAATTAAAGCTTGCACTGATTTTCTTTTGCTCTCTGGCACTGCAACTTAAATCTATTTAGTAATTGCTTCCACACAGTGAAAGCTCCCATAAAAACAACAGCAATGCAGACAATGTGCACAATAATATACTGTGGTCTTTGCTGTATTAATGTGATCGCTCAAAGTATGTCATTCCCTCAAAGTACACAGTAAAGGTTCAACAGCTGCAGCTCCTTTCCAAAGAACAAGAGTATGTGCATTACATCTCCTGCTGTCAGCGTTTCGCTCATACCTCACTGAAGTGGCGCAGCCGGGGCGCCCGAGCAGTGGAAGTGGATGTTCTGCCACTTGCTGTCTCTGCGATGCCAGACGCGAGTTTCCTCTGACTGGCTGGACCGCGGCCAACCCTGGTTGTCCACAAACTGAGTCAGGCGGATGTAAGCGATGCAGGCCGCGTCCTCGCCGATCATGTGGACGTGGGGGTTGAGGATGGTGGTGTGGATGGGCTTGCTGTTCTTTGCCAAAACTGAAAAGAGGACAAAAACAATGTAAGGTAGAATAAGCAAGGGAACACCAGTTTGGAAGTTCAATTCACTTTGTAATGTGATTTGCAAATGTAACAAATTATTTTTCATTTGCGTGGATGTGGGAGTCTTGTGGGATTTTTTTTTTAGGGTGGAGCTTTGAATGTTTTATCTTCTTTCATTTTTTCTATTTGACCCATTTTGTATCTAATGTGGTCTATTTCTGACACCTGAAACGGCAATAAGGCAAATGTAGAGATGAAAGAAGACATTTTTCTTTCAGAGCCCCGATTTGTGATTTGTGAGACGTGTAAACTAACATTAGAATTACAAATGGACCAGATAAATAGGTAGAAAGAACAGATTTTAAAAAGAAAAAGACAATTATCACCAAATCTATCAATCTTACGGTTTTCAAAGTAGAATCTATGGAAATCCATGCCCTCTACCAGGTTGCCCAGCGCCTCCGGCTCAAACGAAGTGAGTCCAGGGTCACAGATCTTACTGAAGAGGAAGGAGAGAGGCATGTTAATGACGACACACATTCATTTTAAACTATGCATTTTACCCACACACAAAAAGCGCAGACTCACGCATATGCCTCAAAGTCTCCATTGTTGATTGCTTCAATCAGCTGCTCGGTGATCTTGATAATTTCCTGTTTGCGTACTGCAGAGGAAAAACAGACACAGGCACAGAAAATATATAGAATCAGAGGCTATCGCAACAGTTGGACGAATCGAGACGCAGTTATTCTGGTTTTCACAACAACCCATGTGCTCAGGCAAAGTTAGAACCCTAACATCTTGCTTTATGTGAAACAACTCAAAATAAAGTTTCAACTTCTCTGGTCATTATTGTAATGAGCTGGAAATGTATGCTTCATAGTGAACTTGCTTTAAATTTCATTTTTTTACAACCATCTGGGAAAAATGCACTGAATGCACTCGATTAGTTGGGTAATACAAATAACATCAAACATACAAACAGACATGAGTCTCTCATGTGATCCTGATGGACTGTCACAAACACCACAAACAATATCACCTGTGTATTAGTGTACATCACAACTATTCAAAAGCAACCAAACGATGCTTACATCTGCGTGCAGTATGCCTACTGAAGATTATGTTAATAGAAGCAAATATCACACACATCCAGAGGGTCCAACTTCTAACCTGAAGAGCAGTTCACCACACGCACGATGTATGTTATGCTCCAAAAGCAGAATACACTGGCTGTTACACACGCTTGCTCACGCACAGGCCTGCAGTGAGTGGATGTCATTCGGTTAGGACCCGTGATTGGCAAATATGTGTAAGGTCGGTACTCACTCTGGGAAGAAGACAGGGGAGGGCTGGAGGGGGAGTGGGGGGGATGTGGGGAGGTGGTGTGTGCGTTTAGAGGGGTGGGCCTGGCGCTAGACACTGGTGCAGCATCAGAATTGAGCGCAGGGGCCGCCGGCGCCGCCCTGCGAACGCTGCTTACCAGGTCAGTGAGCCGAGACACTGAGGGCCGGCAATGCAGGAAGGATGGGTGGATGGTGGTGGAGTAATGTAAATAAATAGATTAGAGAACACAAAGGGATGAAGAAATAAAAAAAATCCTCTTATTTGTATATTTTTGGTAACATTTTCTACACTATACTTCTGCTGCTGTAATACAATAAATGTCCCCGTTGCAGGACAAATAAAGGAATTCTGATATTGAGGTAACTATACATTCAATTACATTATCTACATTACTAATTATAACTAATTATACATTTTTGCACTACAAAGTCCTTACAGAAGAAGGTTTAGAGGTCCGGTGGTTTTCATTAAAATCAAAGTTTTATATATTTTCATTTATCCGAAAGCCTTTAATTTGTATACGATTATTAATAATTTCCAGGTATCCTTCAAATATGTAAAACATTTAATGGATGCACAACTACGCAATTATAATATTTAAAATGACTATTTTATTTGGGCTATAATCCAATTCATCCATACTGAAGTGCTAAATCTGGTAAAATCTTAAAAATAAACAGTTTTACTTATTTTCCAACATAAAAGATGGAATCGATCCATCTTCGCAGGCATTGACCGAGGAAATGTGAATCCCGATTTATGTTTGATCTCCTCTATTTTCTCTTCCAGCGGTCGTCTACAGTACTCTCCCTCGTCTACTTACTCTGCATGGGGGTGTGTGGAGGGGAGGGGGCGGAGAGGGCAGCGGGAGGTGGAGTGCAGGATGTCCCTTCCCCGTCGGATGTGGGCCCTGAGCCCCTACGCACTGAGCCCAGCAGGTCAGCAAACTTGGTAGTAGCTGAGTTTAGGATGGAAGGAAGGGAGGAACATGGGAGACAGTGCACATGGGAGAACGTTGATGGCATGATGGCCATTATGATGAAAAACAAAGCCACACAGATGTTGAAGGGAACACAGAACAAAAGTCATGCTTGGAAATGTCTGACAAACAAAGACCCAGATAGTCATGGAGCAGTGTTGTGTTGCTATTCCATGTGCGCCCATGAGAACGAGAACACGAGTTATTCTACAAACATGTTGCATTGGCAGACAGGGGGCGAGTAGACATACTACAAAGCATCTCACGGTTATCTAGAATGGCCTTCACTATTTATGTTGTTATTGAATGTGTTAGACTGTCAACAAGTAGTATGGTGCCGACTAAGAACACCGTAATGCACCGTTTAAGTCAGGGTACTGAGGGGGAATTAGTGCTGCTAAATGGTAGCACATGTATGCTTTGAATACATGGATGAAATACACACAAGGGAGGTTTTAGTCAAGTGGAACTGCTAGTGCAGTGTGTGTGTGTGTGTGTGTGTGTGTGTGTGTGTGTGTGTGTGTGTGTGTGTGTGCGTGTGTGTGTGTGTGTGTGACAGGCTGCATTTGGATGGGGCCATGCTGACTTACAGAACACGGCAGCTGAGGAGCCCTGAGAGCTATCGGGCTGGGAGCTCGTGCTGGATTGCGCCTTAAGCGAGCTGTTGTCTAAGCTCTTTCCTGATGACGTGCACACAAACAGAGAATGAGAGCAAACACACATATGAGGAACAGCGAGGAATGATGGGAAGGGCAGAGCGAGCGTGAGATGACATGGTGGGGGGGGGAAAATAAATACAAGATGATAAAACCTAGTCGAACTCTTTTCTTTTAATATGAAAATACAGCTACCTAAAAAAGAAGTGTTCTATGGGTTTTTGTGCATGTCAATGGTCTGCAAAGGCTAAAATCACAACGATCCCTCCAGAGGGAGTTTTTCTCCCACACACTGCCCTCCCTGCCTGAAACGCCTCCATTGGACTCCTTTGTTTACTTCTGCATCAAAATGACATCACTATGTAACACTTGCGCTCAAACACATTGTATTTAAAAGGCTAAGGGGCAGGACATCTCAAAGCGGTTGGCCAATCACAAGAGAGGGCTCTGGTTTCAGATGTTATAATCTCTTTAAGACAACTTGTGCTTTAAAAGTGGCAAAGTGTTCATTCAGACATCTGTGATTTACAGCATGGACAGCTAGTTGACCGAGACATATAAAAGAAAAACAAGCAATGTTTGCAAGATATATAAGACACAATACTCAAAAGAAAGTAGGACTTCTCTTGCTCTTGAGTTCACAGTGAAAGCTGGGGTACATGAGGAGTGACCAGTCTGACAACTCTGGCAGTGGACACTAGGAAGTCCAACGAATACAAAAAAACACAACATCTGTGTCGAAAAAAATAAATAAATAAGAAAAGCGAAAGAAAAGGTCATGATCTTGATGTGATTTTATGATCTAGTTGACTCAGTCTCTCACTGTTTTGTTGGGTTATTAAAGACAAAAAGGGGGGGGGGAACTTTCAGAACCACTGCTTTATTGGAAGTCTGGCTAGTGAACAGAGGATGGATGATGACAATGGTGTTGGCCATGATAATGAGGGAATGTTACTCATTACCCCTTGGCATGGAGGGAAACGCAACACGTTAACACTTTGGAAAAAATGGATGCCACGATACTGGCAGGAGAGTATTTTTCCATGGTACCACCAATTTTGGACCAACACAAAGAATGCAACAACATTTTTTTTAAACGTCCTACTTTCAGAAACCAAACCTAGACAATAGGAAATAAAATAAATGATTTGACTCAAAGGAGAACGGCAGGATTAGCAATTGAACTGCAAGTTATTCTAACTGACGTGAGACCTGGACACAACAAAACTGTAGATTAACGACCCACAACAAGCAACCCCCAGAAAACTCTCCATGGCATGTTCTCTACTGTAAACCTTTGAGAGTAACAGAGCACATATGTGTTTGAATGCTCCGAGAGCCAGCACAGGAGTTGGGTTACAAACCAGCTGTCCAGCACTCACTGACCTGACAAGATCCTACACAGGCTGACATGAAACAAACTGTTCCACGAACCAAACACGACTTCCTCACACACACTCACCTGGCTCTTGTAGTTTTCTCTGGCGCTAACCGTGCTATCTGCGGCCTCGTCTCTTAAGAGTCTTAAAACTGCTGTGTGAGACTAATGCTATCCAAGGGTGGCGCAAGCAGAGCGGTGTGTTTTTAACCCGCACTCTCCCTTTCCTGCCACCAGGGCTGCATTTAAACACCTCCCCCCTTTAGCCCTGACCCACCTCCCAAGGTGCCCTTGCCCTCTCCTGTCAGAGGGACAGGGCGGTGGCCGGGGCTCCAATTTGAGACCTTGGATCGGAAGTAAGTATGGTAGGGGGAGCATACTTTTCACAGTGTGCAAAGGGAAAGTACAGCAGAGCCTGAGGGAATAAAAGGATTTTCAGTTGACCCAATGCTACTGTGGGCTACATTGCTCTTATCATCGGTCAGACTTTATAACCAGCACAGCCCCTAGTAGACCCCCCCCCCTCCTCTACACACACCACAACACAGACTATATCACCCCTTGCTGCTAAATACCAATCAACTATGTGCAATATGTGCTATATGTGCAATATATATATGCCGTTAATAACTGTGTAATTTATAACTGGCTGCTAAATCCTTAGAACCGTTAAAAGGTGTGTTTTTTGCATTTTGTATTTTGTAAATTGTGTAACTTGCTGCTGTTAAATACCATCAAACTATGTGCAATATGTGCTATATGTGCAATATATACATATGCCACCAATAACTGTGTAATATATACCTGGCTGCTAAATCCTAAGAACTGTTACAGGATTTGTATTTTGAAAAGTATTTTTTTTACTTTAATTTTTTTTATTATATTTTTTATTTATCATAAGTTAGTACTTTTTTTTTTAACATATGTAACATTAAGCTGTCTGTGGCTCTTTCCTGCTGTAACGATGCAAATGTCCCCTCTGTGGGACTAATAAAGGTATTCTGATTCTGATTGTAATATTTATCGAAATAAAATATAAAAAGAACAAAATGGACAACGTTCCAAGTAAGAATACCATTTTGACAGTTTCATTTGTTAGATCCCAAGAGACTTGTGCTTAAGACGAGGCTTTGTTTAACACCTTAAAGCCAGTCTAGCTGATCGTGCTGTTCTCTTTTTCCTGGAGCATTTAAGGAATGTTTCACACTGACTGACACCACTTATGCATAATTGTCTTGCATGTCCATTCATTATACTGATTATTACTAACACCTGAGGCCAAAGGGTGAAGGTTATGAAAATGTGTTTTTCCCAATACATACATTATTATGTACTATCACTTTTTGTAATCAAGCATGATCATTGCAATCAACTGTTAACTCTGAAAACAAAACAAAAAATCCATCTTTACTATGGATTTTTTACAATTTATATACAAATTAATAGTCTTATAGACATTTTGTTGGAAAGGATCCTTAGTTACTTTCACTCTGAGCACATTTAAAAGGAGTAACTAAAGTAGTTCTACTTGATGTACTCAGTACTGGTTATTTTCTCTGAGAGCAACATGATTGCTCTGCTATAGTTACAATGGAATTTGTGACATGGCAGCAAAGCCTCCACAGGGAGGAGGAGGAAGAAGAGGAGGAAGAGCACATTTTGTTCTGTATGCCTGCCACCAAAATGATAAATTCATGACCTGATTAAGAAGCATTTTACTCAGCTTGGATGTGGAGAACAGGGGTGTTTGAGTGTGTTGGCGTAGATAAGCAGAGACACACATAATCGCCCAAAACGTAAATTCAGTGGACCAAAAAAGCTGGAGACAAACTCTTTTTGAAAAACCAAAAGAGAAATAAGCAATACACACAGACTCCATAAGAGGTCAGTAAGAGGTCAGCTACCAGCCGGTTGTCTTAAGTCACTTTTACACAATCAAGACATCAGGATTATTTACTACTTTCTTTTGATTTATGAGAGCAAAACATATATTTTTAGGTGAAACTGAAAAACAAAAAGGCGTAATTAAGCACGTTTGTGTTCCACATGACAAGTCCTCAGAAGTATTCGGATGTCTTTCTGCCTGTTTCCGTGTCATTACCCCTTGTATCTCTGCAGTCTTACCTTTCACATCTTCATCCTCCACAGTGGTGTTGCTGCTGTCTGATGATCCCTGCAGATCAGAGATAGACAGTCAGTTTGGGTTGAAACATAATAGTGTAAACATCAGTGCTGAATACACATAAAGCAACACATCACAAGAGAGGTAAGGAGTCTTGTTTACAGGAACACGGGCCAGTTAGGGCATACTTAACGTCAAGTCTTCAAAAAAACGAAATTGGTAACCGAGCAACAGATATATTAAAACAAACAAATTAAGCTTGATCCAATTCAACAGATGCCAAACAAAGTCACATCTTTGTTCAATGCTACAACCAGACAACCTTTGCAAGCATGAAGTCAAACCATGCCAGCACACCCATCAGCCTAGTGGCTCAATACGCCACGGTGTCAAATGTCATTCTATATTCGACTGTCGACCTCTTTTCTCTTTGCTACTCCAGGCAGAGCTCCCTGTGCTTCATTCTCAGTGTGTGTGCTTCAAACAGTGTGGACAAGTGACATCTCTCCTCCACAGGGTGCTCTCGTCTCTTGCTGAAACTGACAGAAACTCAATAGCATGTGCTCCATCCCTTTTTCTATAGCAACAATGGAAGCAGGCAGAAGGGACTCTCAGCGGGCAATTAGCTGACATCTTTGAGAAATACTTCACCAACAATATGACCATATGTATGTCAATTACCACAAGTTCCCATCAATGCCATGCCTCTATTGTGAAGGAAGGGTAAGAAACGGAGAAAGGTCTTGAAGAAATGGAAGTTTAACAACAGAAAAAATGATATCAAAACATCTGTTTACAAACCTCATATAAGTCTTGCAGTGTAATCAAGTCTCATTTATCCAGTCAGATGCTCACTGCTTCCCTAACAAATGCATTTTGACTAAAACCGTACTATTTAATACACTTTGGACTTGCAGCGACTGTGCAAGCGTGACACTGTTCAGGTTTATGATTTAAATAGGAACCTTTTCTCGGGGGCGGTGGTGGCGAAGTCCATAGGGACTTGGCTTGTAACTGGAAGGTCACCAGTTCAAGTCCCGGCAAGACCAAGTGCCACCGAGGTGTCCCTGAGCAAGGCACCGTTCCCTACACTGCTCCCCGGGCGCCGTTCAAAATGGCAGCACACTGCTCCTAACACTAGGATGGGTCAAATGCAGAGAAACAATTTCCCCACGAGGGATTAATAAAAGTCCATCCTTTTCACTAAGCACAGGTTTATCTACCTTTTCCTTCAGCCTTGCTGTCTTTCTCTAATAAGGATTTCACCGGGAATAAGTTATCTTCTGATTTCCAATTAGCAGAATAAATGGGCCTACATTCCCCTGCACGTAGAGGAGAGTTTAGAGACTCTGTGACCTCAATAGAATTACACACGGGCACGAACAGCATCACGAACACAAAGCACAAAAGTGGTTTCATAGCCTTCTAAAGAGCATCTGGTTACCTGCATTAGTATGACTTTTTGGGCACATTGCTGTAATTGAGCCTCACTTATTATAATGCCTTGTAATATTTGTCAGCCAATATATTCAGGCTTTTGACCAATTCAACTTTACCTGTTTTTTGCAATGCTTGGATCAAAAAGGTCACTAATAAAACCTCATCTTCTTCTGATACCGGCTGTTGTAATTAATTTAAAGCAATGCATTTCCCTTTGAGATCCAACCCAAAATCTAATATAAAGTGCTCTCAACAACTTATATTCTATGATCTAGGGAAATATTATTACGGTGTCCGACAGGTGGAAACGTGCTCAAACAGGCCAAAACCCTTTCAGAAACACGCTGCAGCTTTAGAAACCATGCAGATATTAAAAACACAAAACGCTGCAAATACAAATCGCTGCAAGATAGATGCTCAAAACACAACGGAAACGGGGACACTAAGTGATGAGTGACACAGCTGGGACCAGAGCGCTTGGTGACATTGGGGGATTATAAAGATTGCCAACTGTCACTGGGCGGAGTTACTCTATTTCATATTTGTAAGTGTTTTGTCAGTATATTTAAAATGACTAGGTTAGCTACTTTACAGAAGATCTGCAATAAGAGAAAGGAATCATGCGATCACATTGTTAATAAAGCTTAAAATAAACGTACACTTTAGGTAAGTTTCCGGTCAAGTTGGTGAAGATGTTTTTTCCTTTGAATGTGTTTTCACACAATTGTGTTGAAAGGTTTTTGAAAGTGCAGCGCGTTTCTCCAAATGGAAATGTTTTGGGCCGTTGCGTTTGCACCCGTCAGCCCCTGTACATTAAGCTACAAAGTGCTGTTTAATGAGAATTAAGGCAAGACAAGGTGACCCATGTGTCTGGATGACAGTGCTATATTTTTAACGTAGCGTTCTCAGAACCACTGTTGTGGTTAGCAAGGTAAGCAACATGCAATATTCCGATCACCAGGAATGTTATCTCAAGCAACACAAATGTACGTTATTCACACTCATTAGTAAACCAATGCTGTTGTGAGGTCACACAGATGCATGGCGACGACACGGATCAAGGGGCTGGAGTAGATGAGGAAGAGGAGGAGGATGACAAAGAGGATAAAAAGAACGTCTGGGGTGGGGAATGATATATGTGTACCTTCATCCCGTCCACTGGATTATGGATGACGGTTGTCTGAGGTTCCTGGAGGTAGAGGAGGAGGACCATGGAACAAAAGAGAGAAAGCAAAGAAAGGGGCAGAGAGAGGGAGGGAAAGAAAGAGAGAAGATTGACATCAAAGTAGATAGAGATGGGTTAAGTGTAAGTAAAAGACAAGGAGGAAAAAGACAGTGATGTGAATGTTGCATGAAGAGAAAGTGCTTGTTAAGGTTGACAAAGAATAATCCTTCAAAGACATGGAGTGGATGGATGAACTGAATAACTGTAATTTGGAGTGAGAGACAGTATTGAAACCCAGGGTGAAGTCACTGCCATGAGCACTTCACACAAACGGACACTACACAGCCTCCGGAAAGGGACAGTTGCAATCAAGCCACCAATTATTTTTTCATTCAACCTACAAATATGCAAATGTAAGCAGAATCAAGACGATTGTTCATTCAAATGAAGGTAACGCACACAATTTCAATGAGCTCTGACGTAGATAAACACTACTGTATGCTCAACACCTTATTAGACACTGCTAAACCCAGCGAAAAGATTGTGCCGGACCAGATGAAAACAGGTCTTTCTGATCATTTCGGCTCCCCTTCTAAAAGATGTTCTGACTGAAATGTATGGGTTTTTATTTTAAATCACAATTTTGTGCACATAATTGGCTCCGTAAATCCTCAAGATTAGCCATATCTCCTTGTTGTTTTGCCTTTTCACAATCCCAGTTGATCTTCTTTCACTTAGAGCACATTAAGTTCCTTCTTTCATCTTATATTGCAGATTCTGCAATCTAATGTATCTTCAGCATCTCTGTCACGTTTTTAGCCAGTTGGTGGCTCTTTTCAAACAAAAACATTCCCATCAGTGTTGCCTTTTTGTCCCCTGATGCAGCAGGCCCTGATTGCGGATAATTCATAAAAAGGGAGACATATATATTTGTTCCCTTTTCTAAAGCTCTCAACACTCTGCTAGAAAGTGCCACCTGATGTACGTAAATCAGAACCCCCTGCCGCCACCCCCATCATGTTCTTCACAGGAAGTGACACCTTAGTGATGACCAATCATCAGCTTTCTCCCTTGTGATGATGGCAGTGTTGTCAGGGCGACCGTCACCTAGGGCAACATGCACCGGAGGCAATTTGGGAGATGGTGATGATGATGAGTGAGAACAAAGTACCTTGGGTTTACAGATTAGAATGAGGGGGAAATGGGTAATGGTGTCACAACATCACGGGGGTTGACCGCAACACATCACTGCTTTACATTAACTCCGCTGCTCTTTCAGGGATGTTCTAGTGGCGCAATTAAGTCAAATTATGTTATGTATATACAGCCAAGCCGCACATTAATATTCCCATCACCCCTTATCCGCTCCAAGGTCAGAAAATGAAGGTCATCTAATTCTAAGGGTCTCTCTGACCTGGCAGCTCTGCAATGGCTAAACAGTAGCTAGCTCAAGTCCCTAGCAACAGAGTGAAGATCACAGACGCACTCCCACTCTCCGTTCCCTTCAAAGATCAGAAAAAAAAGCCTCTTCAAGTCTATGGTTGTGTTTCACACTCTGAAGTCCGTCATCTTCCTATCAAGCACTTCTTGTAGTATGTCTGTATTTGATAGGATGCATGCGCACACAGAAAAACAGACTTCCATCCACAAAATATCTTGCCTTCTCCAATCAAAGTGCTGAAAGCAGATGCCTAGTTTTAAACAGTGTCAAGCTGAGGCCAAGCTAGTGATGCACACCATGGACAGGTAATATCTACCAGGGTCACTGCTCATTGACACCACCAAGAGATCTGCTGACCAATAGACTATAATCTGTGTTTTGTTATAACGTGCTAAAATGGAGCTTTGCAGTGTATGGCAATATATATTTAGTTTGCAGGAGTTCCAAAGAGCAAACCTAAATTCCTCAACTGTGCTAGATGTGTAAGTTGGTGAAATCCTTTGTGAGGCATCTAGGTCTCTTTATTTAGCATGGCTGATCGACTTGAAATCAAAATTGCATTATAAAATGCAGCTATTATGGTTAAATAAATTGCAGTTGCACACAAAGTAAGAGGCATTTGCAAATGTAGTGCAGTCCTGAAACACAATTATTTAATTGCATGAAATCTATCATTGCAAATCCTACATTGACCAGGACCATTTGTTATATACTTTAAAGATGTTCACAGATGTTGTCTATGCAACACAAATTACAATTAATGCCTCACCTTTATTGTGCATCCTTAAACTATTTATTTCGGTTTTGAAAAGAACTACAAAGATATCAGAAAACAAAAGAAAACTGACATTAAAGTATTTAGGGTACTTTTAGGATTTCATTTATCATTTATTTTCATTATTGATTATTCTACCAACATCCATTAAAATGTCCAAAAGTAGGGGAAATCTTAAAAACTACCGCATCTAAATGTTTTTTTAATTTAAATATTTTGTTTGCATATTTGCTATTTAAGAGTCTGTAAACACAATTTTCCCATGTTCATTGGAAATATTAATCCTGAAGCAGGTCCAAGGTCCACAACTCACCCACGGAAATATGAATATAGCACAAGCTCCACATACTGTAGATCAAGAGGAGAAGCAGAAATAACTTTGA